CGACGTAATATTCTTTATTGTCACTTTCCTTAAAGTGACAATTTCATGTAACGGGCTGCCCCGTTACATTCATTGTCACAATCGGCATCTGGGAACTCTTACCTTCGAAGGGTTTACTTTCTTTATTTTTGGCTGCGTATTGACAGCAAGAACGGAGGTGCTCCATGTAAAATAGACTATATATAATGCGCACTGATAGTACGTTATCAGTTGGTTGTTTATATATGACCTGGGTGACGCAGCAGACATTAGGGACCGATATACGTGGGTGAAGGTGTATTTTGCATCTACCCTCCTCCCGACAAGCTTTGATAACTTTTGATCTTGTAATAATTACTAAGCCAAGAATTGGGCTCCATTTTACATCTGAAATGAAGACTTCGTTCAAACTTTCCTTGGATTCATACTTTGAGTCAAACATGAAATGATAAACGGTTTTTTTTGCTCTAAAAACGTATTCGCTTAATTTTTTATAATTTGTTACCACTACAACATCGAGTTAATATTTGCTATGCATGCAAATACATTCTCTCCAGCGCAATCTTCATTGTTGCTGCTTCTGATTGAAACGGGCACGCTTCTTACCCTTTAACTGAAAATACCTTGTACTTATTTCCATACGAAGGTGCGTGCCCCCGGGCGTCAAGTGCACGTGAGCGTTTGAGAGCGAGAGAGAAATCTGAGCACAGGACGCTCTGTAACGGGGCACTAGTGACAACGTACTGGTTGACCAGTACGGAGATCACTTCCACTGACAACAGTGATAGTCAGTGCCCTTCTAAGTGTTGCACCAACACAGAGGAAGGAAAAGTAAAACTGCTTCTTAATACGATAAGTCCTATCAAACGTGTGTCTCTGTTTGTCCTGACTTAATTATATCAATCTAACTAAACGTATGATGACGTCTACTCACCACCCATTGCGCGCGCCTAGCAGCGATTGGTGGCTAATTCGGTTGACCCCATGGTCTATATCAACTAATAAGTGGAGTGGCCTTAAGTTTCACCTTGAAGGATATATACTATCAATATTTCCTTCACCCGGTAATATTGACGAATACTATCGATCAAGATAATATTATCATTGATATGTTTGATACCAATGACATGTAACCGGCTCACCCCGTTTCACTAAAAGTAGACCGTATGCTTATGTGGGGAGGGCAAGCCTGACTACTTCGCAACGACTTCTACATTGTCGCGCATTATACGATACCTGATTTGCATCTTGATCGAACGGGCCCGATGTTCTAAAATAATGGCGAAGACTCAAAGCTATCGGGCAAAAGCTGAAAGTCTGGTGTTCATATCACATGAAATCTTGGGATTCTAGACCTTTTCAAGTTGTAGACAACGAAAAACCGAAAGTGGTACGGATATCAGCACACTGGTCTCGTATCGTCGTCATGAAAAGACAGACGCCCATAAAATAGGACGCGGTATTCATTGACGAGCAAAGAAGTATCTGCTGTTGACTCGACAAGTGTCGAGACGCGGCATCGCTAGTCTTGATCCAGATCCCTTTACTCGTGATGACGCACAGCCAACAGGAGGTGGAGAAGCACGCTGGAATGACAATACGGCGAAGACGTGCAGTGCATAGTGAAGTGTGCAGCAGCCAATCTCGTTGGCACCGCTTTGATGAGATAATCTCGAGCTATGACGGATCAATATTCCATGTTAATAGAGTTTGGCGTATCGTGCGTATGGCGTAATAGCGATCAACAAATTGTGCGGGTTCGCGTTACTTGGGGGAAAAAGACGATGGCCAGGGACTGGAGACTGATGTGCGACTTACATCTCTCGACTGTAGAAAGCTCACTACTCGCAATCGCACACACTGGTCAAGATGCACTTGTATACCAGTAGATGCCAGCTCGGCACGCCGGGAGTGGCCTGAGGCACGAAATGCTGGTCGTCAGCCGCAAATCCTCCGCGTCGGTCTCGTCCGATTGTACGTGCGATTGCAGCAGTTTGCGTCGCTGTTCTAATCACACGCGCGCGCCGATCTTTCTAGCTGAGACGTTGAAATGTCGACCCGATTGCGCGTAACCCGGTGGAACTTTTGCGTCCATTGCACACCGCGAGGACATGGAGTGACGCCAGAGCACTTTCCACGATGTATTGCTCCAAGAAGCTCGATATGCCAGCCGTGCTGTCCTGTTCTGCTCCGGTCTAAACACGTGCGCTCCCTTTGCTCTGGTGGTCCATCGATGATTGCCTTCGCTACCGATCTAGCACTCCTCCGTTCCCACGCAGCAGGTGCATCCGCTCGCCTCTATCTCTGTCGCCTTGAAACTGCAGGCCTGGTGTCCGTCTTGGATCGTATCCCTGAAACGAGACGGCCGCCCTTTTGACTTTGACCGCTCGCTTGCTCCTCGTCCAGATTCCCTTCATCACCCGAGTGGGCGAGTCAGTCCGTGCGTGAGTGAGTGAGTGTCCATCCACATTGCGTCCGTAGCGGATCCCGTGGGACCCACGTCCAAAACACCACCTCGTTGGCAAACCAGCCAGCGAGCGAGCGAGATGAGGCGGCCTTTGACTGGCGTCGTCCCGCATACCTGACGGATCCATCTCCCCGAGTGAGAGACGCCCGCCGCTGTGAACGAACCGATGCACGTCATCGACTCGTCTCCCCATTGCACCGCTAAGCGAGTAGACGCGTCCCGCATCGCACGTGGCTCGTTTGTGGTGCAACGGGTGACCTGCCGTCGTCCCTCCTCTAGAGTTGGACGAGGCCTCGCGTCATCTCGACGATCCCTTTCCCGGTGATCCCCCGCACCTGATCCCGTGCGAGGAATGAATGAATGAATGACTGGATCAACTGATTGACTGAACCAACGAACGAACGAGCAAAGGCCTCTACGTGACGCGCTCGGTCCCTTGCCACTCCTTCTGGCTCAGTTGCTGGCTTACCTCCAACATGAGTCTCAGTCCCCTTTCTGCCGACCAGTGGATCGCTGCCGTGACGAGGCCGCCGGACCTGCGACCTGTGGGCATCGCACTGTCGCCCGGTTGCTTCCAGCCCACCGCCGCCCATCGCGAACGGTACACTGCGCTCGTGCAAAGTCGCGTGGCGTCGCTCCTGCAGGACGAAGCGCAGTCGCGCGCCCGATGCCATCGCAAGGAACCAGAGCTCGATCCCAAGCAGTGGAAACCCGTCAAGAAGGAGAAGCGCTTGACTTTCTACCGCCGGCGATGTCAATGGGGACAGTCGCTGCAGGACTTGGCCCGCGAAGAAGAGCTGCCCGAGATCCAGCGGGCCATCGAACGCGGCTACACGACGTTGATCTGCAAAGGCGATGTCAAGGGCTCGATCGAAGACATGCTCTACGGCATGACAGCGTCGTGTCAAGACGACCTGCGCACGGGGTTCTCGTTCCGGAACCCGCCTCGGGACTGTGTCTGGCTGGGCACCGTCGAGAGCGCGACGCCTGCAGACCCGTTCCACACGGCCGACTTGATCTGGGCGCTCCCGAAACTCCCTCCCGTGCTCGACCAGGTCGACGTGTGCTACCTCAAAGCCACGGGTCAAGCCCGGGACCCACAGGGCAATCGCTATGGCTACGTCCTGCTCCACAGCGTGCACATTGCTCAGTGTCCAGCCTTTGACGCCCACGGCATCTCGCGCGCGAAAATGTTCTTTACCTGTTTGCTTCGCGAGCCGCAGCCCGGCGTACTGACGGTCACAGTGCGGGGCATCTTTGACCTGAGCAAGAAGGTCCGGATGCTGACAGGCCTCGTGTCTGCTGCGACGACGTCGCTCATGGTCGGACTCTTGAACGGCGTGGGCATTGGCGAAGCCAAGAAGCTGACGCTCTTGGCCCGTGAGAAGAAGAAGAAGCGGGCAACGACGACGTTGTTGCCACGTGAGTCCGTGTACGCGCGACGGCAGTCGTCCGTGTGCTACATGTGCTGCAAGCGCGAGTCGTTCTTCGGTCGCGTCCATGTCTTTGGCCCGCACGCCTCAACGTGCTACATCTGTCGCGCCACTGTGTGCTCGGATTGCACGCGGGGCATCAAGCAGCGGGTCTTCTTAGGGGCCACCCGTCCATGCTCGAAAGTCGACTGCTGTCCGAACTGCGTCCGAGACGCCGTCACGAGCATCCGCGTTCGACCTTCGGAGCCCGAGTTTCTGGTCGTGGCGGAGTACTACCTCAACGAGCCATCCGCAATAGCTTCAGACAAGCTGGACGAGCTGCTGTTTGCGAACGGACTGAAGACGGCGACTTCGTCCACGAACATACCGACCCACTCGACGTCTGTGGAAAGCTTGGGCGAGTACACACTGGACTTTGACGACGACCCGTTCTCCGTCGCGCTTGCTCGGCCTGAACTGCGTCGAAGTTCCGGCGAAGGTGGGGACTCTAACATTAGTGGGGACACGGGCGAGGAAGTGGATTCCGGACCGGAAGCCGAAGCGGGATCGTTCGGCAGCTCCATTACCGTCTGGTTAGGAGGGCACCACCGCATCAGTATTGACGACGAGGACTTCATCCCGCAAGCTGCTTCCGATCGCACGTACTCGGACCGGTTGTATGCCAACGCGCGACTTGCCGAGCGGGTCGAGCAGAGACTGCTTGAGCTCGACATTCGAGTGGAACGTCCCTACGTAGAGGATCGAGAGGCGGCGGGCATGCGACACGGTGAGCGGTTGTAACGAGGAGTGCTGCGGCAAAAGGGGTGTGACGTCAATGTGTTTTACGCTGTGCCCGTCGGGATCCTGGGAATGCAACCAAAGCGACTTCCAGCGGCTACTGCTTCGGTGTTCGAGTCCAACACGTGAGATGCCGATCGAGGAGAGAAATCGACGTGCGAGTGTTACCGCATGGACTTCTTCATGAGCGCTTCGTTGGCTTTGGCCGTCACGTACGCTTCTTCGACGGACGACTGGAGCTCCATCATCCACTCGAACATGTTGTTTGGTCGGTGCGTGGGGTGGGAACGAGGTGGAGCTTCCACGTTGAAGACACGAGACTTAGAGATGTTGTCAGTGTCCACGGGATACCGTTCGTCGCTACGATCGTCACCATCATCATCGTCATGGCGATCGTTTGCCGAGTAGCTGTCGGTCGCACCTCGCGCACTGCTCGGGATCGTATCGTCCGTCAAGTTGCCGAGCTCGGCGTACTCCATGAGCAATGCCACGGACACGCCGGGCTCCTCTTCCAGCTCAATGTCTCGATTGAAAAACACGCTCGAGTTGAAGCGGTAGTCGCCGGAATTCAGGTCGCTCAGTGTGCCGGAGACGCTCACGTCGCAGTCGAAGGCGGCACAGCTTTCACCGAGGGTCGAGGCCGTCGTCACTGCTTCGGACGAGCACGTTTTACTGCCGTCGAACGGCAGCGAAGAAGCCGATGTCAGCTTTCTTGCGTCGTAGCTGCGATCCGGTGTATCGGTGTAAGTGCTGCTCAGTGGAGCGTGACGAGCCTCCGAAGCTTCCGACGAAGCGATTGAATACGACGCTGTCGTTGCTACTGCTGCTTCAACTGCTGCAACTGCAGATGCGTCAGGAGATGAAGACTCTGAGGTGAGGCGGTGCTTGTCGTAGAACTCGGCCACGACCGTGAACTCGGGCGCGCCCAGACGCACGTTTGCGATGCTACGCGCCTGCTGCAAACAAGTGGCACAGCACGTGACCGCTTGCCACGGCTGGTGCGTCCCGAGGAAGAGCTTGCGGTCCTTGATCCGGCAGTTCTTGCAGATCGGGACGCCACACACGGCACACGGACGGAGTCGAGCGCCCGATCGCAAGCGGTTGTTCGCACGGATGCACATGGAGCACACGCTCCGCTTTGAAGGCGCTTGAGGTCGATGGCGGTCGACACGATACCGCGAGGCCACCAACGTGAGCTTCTTGGTCTCCCCACAGCTCGCCGACCGCAAGAGACCGCCAATGACAGTCGCCGTGGCATGCGGCAGCACGCGCTTGAGCATCTCGCCGCCGGCCAAGTCAAAGATGCCACGTCCCCTCACGTGCAGCGTCTTTGGCGTGAGCTCCCGGAACACGAACGAGAAGTACATCTTCGCGCGCAGGACTTTGGTCTGCCGGTAGTCGAACGGCGGACACGCAGACACCTCAACCGAATGGAGCACCATGTAGCCGTAGGGCACGCCGTTGCCATCGCGTCCGACGCCCGTCGCTTTGAGGAAACACACGTCGCGGGGACACAGGAGCGGCAGCTTCGTGAGCACCCAGAGGAGCTCGGCCGACCGGAGTGGGTCGTCTGCTGTCGACCGATCGACGACGCTGAGCAACGCGGCGTCCACCGGTGGCGACGTGATGGAGAAGCCCGTCATCATCTCCTCCTGCGTCGTCGCACTCGCGCCGAAGAGCATGTCCTCCATCGAGCCGTTGATTGTCCCCGTGACGAGCATGCTCGGGTTCCCTCTCTCCACGGCACGTACTGCGTCCGGGAACTCCTCTTGGGCCGCCACCTCTTGTCGCGACCGACCGCGAAAGCGGCGCTGAAACACGTCGACGTCCCGAATGCATCGGACAAACTTCCACTCAGTGGGCTGCTCGTCGCTTCGGTACTCGTCCGCCAGCAGAGCGTGCACGCGGTCGTGGACCAGGTCTTTGTACTCCTGTCGTCTCGAGGGCGAGACGCGAACGGGGTCGAAGTACTTTGCAGGAAGCGGAAACCGCGTCGCCATTGCAGGTGGCGTCACGTGCGACCGGAACGGAACGTCGCGGGACACGGTCGTGGACGCCACGCGCGACCGGAACGGCATGGACTTGTGGTTGAAGGTCAGGTGGTCTTCTTCAGTGCGTTGGTTTGCACGCAGAACGAGGTGCGACGCTGGAAGTTCTCGAGTGAGGGGCTACTCGACGGACGTGCCATTCGTCGGCAGTGTGTGGCGTCCGCGCTCAAGTTTGATAGCGTCCAGCGCGACCTCAGCACGAGCCTCCCACCGTCCGACAGCATTGCGACGACTGCGCTTGACACTTTGACGAAGCACACGGGACGCACGACGTGATTGTCTGGAGGGATGCGGATCGACCGGAGACGAAGGAGTCAGCAGTGGTCGAGCAATCGGTCGCTGCTGGACAGCTCACTCGCCAGGAGTTGTTCATGGACGGAACGGCTCGAGACCACTGAAGCGCTGTAGGTAACACGACTGGACGCGGGTGCGATCGCGCGGGTCAGTCTGTTGCACGGCAAGTGGTGGACGTACAGATGAGACAGAGAGCTGAAGAGAGACAGCGAGAGCGAGAAGTAGAGAGGTAGAGAGGTAGAGAGGTAGAGCATGAGCGCATAAGGAGAAGATGCATATTTACATGAACACCTGACCTGATTACGCTGCCGCCGCTGGTGGTGGCATTGCCGCGGCCGCTGCCTCGACGTGCATCATGAGCGAGTGCTTCATGCCAATGGTGATGCCCATTGCGTACTGCACGTCTTGACCTGGGACTTCGACCAAGTGGAAGCGCGCGACGAGCGTCGCAATGACGATCTTCATCTCGAGCATGGCCAGCGCTTTGCCCACGCACGCGCGCGGCCCGCCGCTAAAGGCGTTCAGTTGGGCCGTCGGCACGTGCCGCAACTTGCCCGTGTCGGCGTCAAGGAACCGCTCGGGTCGGAACGCTGCGGCGTCGACCCCCCACACTTCCGGGCGGCGAGCAGCGCCGTAGTGGCACAGGCCGACGGTCGTACCTTTCGGCACGAACGTTCCGTCGGGGAACACCGTGTCGCGGACGCACTCGCGCATAGTGAACGGCACGGGCGTGTGCAGGCGCAAGAGCTCGTGGATCGTCGCGTCCAGGTACACGAGGCCCTGGACGTCGTCGATCGACGGCACGTACGTCGCGTCGCGGGCCAAGTGGGGCACTTTGGTCAGCACTTCGGCACGGAGCTTCGCCTCGACGCGCGGGTGCTGCGTCAACGTGTGGAGCAACCAGCTCATGGTATCTGCGGACGTGTCGCGGCCGGCGCCTAAGGCCGCGACGGCGATGTTGCGCACGTCAACGGGGGAGACCATGTCGAGGCCATCTTGGGCCATGCACTCGAGCACGATGGACACGAGGTCGCTGTCCGTCGCGTGCACGGGCCGTCCCGCCTGGAGGTCGGCCTGCCGTGCGTGGCGCTTGTCAATGGCCGACGAGATGATCGTCATGATGAAGGCGTCAATGCGCTTGAGGTGCGTGCGGAGCGTGCGTTCCTGGCCGACGTTGAGCCAGCGGCGGAGTTTCCAGAGCCACACGGGCTGCTGGAGCCGCCCGGCCACGATGGACTGCGCCTGGTCGAACGCCCGTTCGAACGGGTGCTCGTGCTCCGAGTCGATGCTCTCGAGCGAGTTGTTGAACACCATCTCGGCGAACGCTTTGAACGTGAAGCGGTGCATGAGCATGTAGAGGTCGACGGGTTGCTGGGTCTGAACGGCCCGTGTTAGCACGTGCTGGAGCAACAGCGTGTGGCGCTGGATCAGGGGCGTCATGTGGTCCCGCAGCGTCCGGGCACTGAGGAGCCGCACGAGCAGTCGGCGATGGTAGCGCCAGCGCTCGCCCTCAATGATGAGGACACTGTGGCCCATGAGGTCGACAAACATGTCGTACTGCTGCTGCCCTTTGCTAAAGTGCGTCACCTGCGTCTTGACCACGTGCTCGTAGTGCTCGGGCACGGCCGTGACGATCATGTCGCTCTGTCCGGGCAAGTAGAGCTTGAACACGCCCCCGTGCGCCATGCACTGCTGGGCCATCCAGTCGTGAAAGCGGCCGGCGTTGCGCGCAAGTTCCAGCATGTTGCCGATCAGCGGCACGCGCGACGGCAGGTACGGCACGACCTTTTCTTCGGGTGCACCGCTCACATTGTCGTTGAGTTCGTCGTCGTCATTGCACGGCACTTGGACTGGTACTTGACGGGACGTGACGTACGCAGCGGCAATAGCAGCAGCAGCAGCGCCGGCCAGGAGCACGAGACCAGCAGACCGATACAGTGGGGTCCCTGGTCGGGATTTCAGAAACCAGTGACGCAGCATTGGGAAACCGGAACACTGGATGGGATATGTCTACTCGAAGTAACTTGGACGACGCACGGGCTGAGGAATTCTACAGTGTCGAGATGCAGTTAGTCCGTACCCGACGCGTGTGTGAATCGTGAAGCGGTTGAGACACCCGACGAGGAAATCGATTGTCCATTCGATCGGACGTCGTCGATGATGATGCACCACACACAGAGCGCTATGGACCGAGTCGTCTCTTGTTCCACGGGATTGAGCTTAAAGGAGACCACCACAAGAGGCGACTTGGATCACCCGAGCATTGCACACGGACGCGACGTCCCACTGTCGTCGTCGTCGTCGTGAGAGAGAGAGAGCGAGCGAGAGATACGCGGGACAAGTGGGCAGAACCGGCACGCAACGAAGTGGACGTCTGCCTGCTCACGTCATGGCCCGTGACAAGACCGCGAACAATTGAGGCGGTGGACACCTGTGAGCCATCGTGAAGCGCTACAGACGACGAGGAATGGGTACAGGACGCGGACAATGCGCATGACAATGCTACAGGTCCGTCCGTCCGTCACGTGCCCCTCCCCACTTTTCTTGCCGGACGCAACGCAGTAGGCGGTCGAGACAAAGCTCGTGACGGCCAGTGCACGTCATGAATTGCCATCAAAGCTGCAACAACTTCAAGCCCACCAGCCGGCACTGCATCCCCCCGCGTCCGGCCGGACGTTTCGCGGAACGCGACAGTTGGATCAGTCGCCCATTGTCCGCCGTCGCACGCCCCTCTTTCGTGTCCCGACTGACCTCGCGCCATCCCTTCCACGCGCTGTGGCCGCCGACACGCAGAGGAGAAACGGGTCGACCACCCGATGCACCGAGACGAAGTGGTAGAAGACCGGATGGTCACACACTGTCAACGGTCGGTCCGCTAGTCATTCCTCGACGTGCGTCGTGCCGCCGGAGTATGTTGTCGCCGTCAATGGTGTTGACGCACCCCGTTGTGGTCGGCCTCTTCGTCGCCGCCGCCGGGGCGACGCTCGTGTCAATAGCGTCGAGGAGCTACGCCAGCGACGCCGACTCGGGCCACGACCGCGACGAGAACGCGCCGACCGACACCAGTGCGTCCGTCCAGTCGGTCCCGTACCTCCCGGGCGGCCACCCCGTGCTCGGGCACACGCTGCTCATGGCGCGGCACCTCGACCGGTTCCAGGACTGGCTCGTCGAGACGAGCGTCGCGCGCCACGGCGCGCCCTTTGTGCTGCGGCAGCCGGGCAAGAACGACTGGCTGTTCTCGGCGCGGCCGGCGGACTTTGAGCAGATTCTGCGCGTGCACTTTGACACGTTTGTCAAAGGGCCGCAGGTCCGCGACCTGCTGCACGACTTCATGGGCGAAAACATTGTCATCATCAACGGCGACCGCTGGCGCTTCCACCGCCGCGCGCTCGTGAACCTCTTCACGGCGCGCGCCGTGCGGGACCACATGACGCCCGTGGTCCAAAAGTGTGCACTGGCGCTGCAACACGTGTTCGCGGCCGCGGCCGCGACGCACGACGTCGTTGACGTGCACCACTTGATGGGCCGCTTTACGCTCGAGACGTTTGCCGAGATTGAGTTTGGCGCGCAGCTGGGGCTGCTCGCGTCCGGCCGCGCGCACGCGTTCGAGACGGCGATCGACGAGGCGAACCACATTTCGCTCGAGCGCTTTGCCGTCCCGACGTGGCTCTGGAAGCTCAAGCGCTGGCTCAACGTGGGCTCGGAGCGCCGCCTGCGGGGGGCAATGGCCGTCATCTCGACGTTCGTCACGTCGTGCATTGCCGGCGCGATCGAGCGGCGCGCGGCGCGGAGAGAAGCGCTTGCGAGGGGCGAGCCACTGGGACCGTCGCCGCCGGCCAACGACATTGTGTCGATTTTGCTCGAGACGACGGACGACACGGGCGCACCGGTGCGGCCGAATGACGTGTTTAACATCTCGTTGGCGGGCGTCTTGGCCGGCAAAGACACGACGGGCGACGCCTTGAGCTGGTTGCTCCATTTGCTGCACGAGAACCCGCAGGTGGAGAACAGACTGCGGACAGCGCTCCTCGCGCACGTGCCAAAGCTCGCGACGGACGCGACGTACGTGCCGACGATGGCGGAACTCGACGGCGTGACGTACTTGGAAGCGACGATCCGAGAGAGTCTGCGGCTGAAGCCACCGGCGCCGTGCGTCACGCAGCACTGCACGCGCGACACGGTGTTTGCCGACGGGACGTTCGTCGCCAAAGGCACTGACACGACGCTGCTGTACCACGCGTCGGCACTGCTCCCGAGTGTGTGGGGCCCCGACGCCGCAGTGTTTCGGCCCGAGCGGTTCCTCGATGAGCACGAGAAACTCGTGCTGCTGCCGCCGCTCAAGTTCATCGCCTTTAGCGCCGGTCCCCGCAAGTGCGTCGGCCGGAAGCTCGCGATGATCGAGATGAAGGTCGTCACGGCGTGTCTCGTGAGCCGCTTCCATCTCGTGGAGGTGCCTGGCCAAGACATTCGCGGCACGATGGGCATCAGTCTCGGCATGAAGAACGGCATGAAGGTGACGGTGCAGCCGACCCGCGGGCTGGCGACCAGTGCGTGACAGAGGGCAGTTGACTAAGCTGTCACGTGTCGCTGTTGCGTGTTGCGTGTCGCTGTGGTAACAGGGGCGTGTGTTGTCACGCAGTGTCCGCCGTAGCATATCGTTCAATTCATTGCCGTTATCATTACATGAGGACACTTCCGCGGACGTGGAGCTGCTGCGTTGTGCAAGTTGTGTCGTGCAGTTGCTCTCGAGTTATTGCACTAGTCGAGCTCTGCATTACGCAGACTGCGTGTGGTCGCCTGGGTCTGCAGGTACGTGTGCTGGGCCTTGAGGGTGAGCTGGAAGAGCGTGCGGCGGAACCCCTCGAGGTCCGAGCGCGTGTGGGTGTCTGGACGAGGTACAAAGTCGTCGTCGACCACGGGACTGTGCGTCTTCCAGACCGTGAGCGTGCTCTGCTCCGACTCGCTCGACAGGCTGACTGGACTGGGATCGGGTTGCGCCATAACGGAGCTGTCGGACTCGTCGTCGCTGCAGCAATGGTCGGCTTCGTCGAGCTCGTCCGAGAACAAGTCCGTGTCGATGCTATCGGCCGCTGTCGAGTGGGTGCGCTTGTCATCGGTCAGCTTCGTGCTTTTCATCGCACATGGGTACCCACGACTACCACGTGTGCGGGTCAGAGTGTCGAGTGGGTACGACGTGTACGACGTGTACGACGACGACGACGACAGCGATCGAACGGGACTGAACAAGGCAGCCGCCGTGTGGGATCGCTGCGTGCGAAAGTACTCGGCAATGACCTGAAACTCCGGCGCGTCTGGACGAACGCCGCCCATCCGTCTGGCGTCCCGCATGCACGTCAAGCAGCACGCGTGCTTCGAGCACGGCGCGTCTGGGCCGAGAAAGAGGATCTGCTTGGCACTGGCCATGCAACTGGAGCACACCGTGGCGCCGCACACGCCGCACTGGAGCAAGTGCGTGTCCAAGCCAAAGAGCAGTCTGCGCTGGGTCTTCAAGCAGATCGCGCAGCCCAGCTGCTTTGGTCTTCGGAGCGCGTGGGGATTGCGGCGCGTCATGATCGTGAGCTTCTTGGCCAAACCGATGGCAACGCCGTCAAAGAGCCCAAGCAGAAACGATTTGGTCGCCGCCGTCACAAATGTCTTGGCGAGTTTGCCACGACTGCTTCCCAAGTCAAAGATGCCGCGCACGGTCACATGCAGAGCCCCTGGCGACGGCTCGCGGAACAAGCACGCAAAGTAGATCTTGGCGCGCGCAATGTTGCGAGCGTCGAACGGACGGCAGTGGGGCAAGTCGATCGAATGGAGCACCAAGTAGCCAAACGTCTGTCCATTGTGGTCTTTCTGGATGCCAGTGGCTCGGAGGTAGCACAGGTCGGCATGGTACGTCTGTTTCGGGAACAACCAGATCACGTCGGCCGAGTGGAACGGGTCGTCTGGCGTCGGTCCTTCCGCAGAGCCTAACCAGACGCAGTCGCGCGGAGGGTTTTGGTACCACAAACTCGTCATCAACTCGTCCTGCGACGAAGCAGTCGAGCCATACAGCATGTCCTCCATCGACCCGTGTACCTGTCCATCGCCAATCATGCTCGCGTATCCGTTCTCCACGGCCTGCCGAACGTCCGGGAGGCATTCCTCGCTCGCCAAGTCACGCACCGTCTGGCCTCGTCGCTTTCGCTTGTACAGCTGCACCTCTTTCCCCGCTTGAATCTGTTTCCATCGCAATGGGTCCAGCAGTGGCAGCAACTGGGCCCGCCGGTCGTCGTAGACCTTTTCACTTGCGAGTAAGCGACGCACGTGCTCGTGGACAATCGCTGCCAACTCGAGGCGCTTGGACTCGCTCGCGTGGAAACAACCCGGTGAGACTGGAAACTTCAACATGGGCGACCTGTCCTCGGCCATCTCCGGGCGCACGTCGTCGACCGCTGGTTTCGTACTTGTTATGGACGTCATCGTGTCCTCTTCGCCGCTGAAACGGAGTGCGCAAGTACGCGAGTGAGCAGCGGCGCTGTCGTCGACACTACTGCCGCAGTCGCTCGGGAGGACGAATCGAACGACAAGGAGCGCGTCCAATATGACGCGAGACGTGGTGGGACTCGGACGGCGTCCGGGTCCATTGCCGCAGAAAGGCGCGCGCGCGCGCGAGTCGCACGTAGCCACTGCAAGTTGGTGCGCCCCGTTTATGCTCCCAAAAGTGTAGGTTCCTCGCAGTCTCGCGTGCCAGCTGTTGCGTGGTGGCTCGTCTGTCGTGTCGCAGGCGGCACAAAAAAGAGACGCGACCGCACCTCCGTCATTGACTGGTGGGAAAGCGTCGCTGGACCCCAAATGGCGTGGGGCAAGAAGACCGGTGTGCAGGACTTGCTGCAGAAACTCGCCGACCCGCTGACGGCCACGAGTCTCTATGTCATGCGGATGCGCGCGCTGAGCGACGCGGACGTTGTGCAGTTGGCACAGGCCATCCGCACCAACACGTTGCTGCGGGCGTTGTACATGTCGGGGCACGACTTGGGGCCTCTTGGAGTGCAAGCGTTTGCCGACTGTTTGGCAACCAACACGACGCTGCAGCACGTGTGTCTTGGCTCGGAGACGCTTGGGGACGCTGCTTTGAGATTGTTGTGTGCTGGATTGGCGCGGAACACGCGGTCGGCTCTTGAGGTGTGGGACTTGGAGTTCAAGTCGCTTGGTAGCGACGGAGCGTCCGCTATTGCCGAGCTCCTGAAGACGAACGAGACGTTGACGACACTCACGTTGTCCCGCAATCCAATTGGGGACCTCGGACTCGAACGAGTGGCACATGGACTGCTTGCGAATGCTCAGGCGCGAGTGGCGGAGCTCCACTTGACGGACATTGGCCTATCGGGAACTGGACTCGACCATTTGGCAGCGTATATCGCGTGCAAAACGTGCTCGTTGACGACGCTGCAGCTGTCGTTCAACTCCTTGGGAGACGCGACGTCTGCGTTTTTCGATGCGTTGGCGACCAACACGTCGGTCAAGAAGCTGCAGCTGAAAGAGTGCAAGTTGACGGATCAACACGCGACTGCTCTCGCGTCTGCTTTGATGCGAAACGCGACGTTGACCGAGATCGATGTGTCCGATAATGAGTGGACGCAACGTGCCTGTGCTGAGATGGCTCGCGGACTTGTTGTGAACAAAGCGCTCAAGGTCCTATGTCTCAGTAACAACAAGTGCCGCGATGAAGGTGCCGTGCTTCTTGCAGAGGCGTTGGCAGCAGGCAATACGATGCTGACGTACCTTGACATGGGCAACAACGGGCTCACTGGCACCGGCATGACACCACTGCTGAAGGCACAGTCAATCACGCAGCTGCACCTGTTCAACAACAAGCTGGGTGAGGGGTTAGCCGAGCTCCTGCCAGTGCTACAGGCCAACCCTGTCATCGAAACGTTAGGTCTCGGTGCCAACCAGCTGCATGAAGGACGAAGTGCCACGCTCTTTGAGGCGCTGCACTTGCATCCGTCCCTGAAAACGCTCGAGATGGGGGGCAACACACTTGGAAAAGTGGGGCACGCAGCCCTTGATGCACTGAAGAACGCCAATCGCGCCCTGGATGTTGCAGTCGACAAGAACGCACAAAACGAGGATGGCAGCTTCGACTTTCAAGATCAGCGGTAAAAGACTTACATTTGAGCGTACTGTGCTTGCTTTCGCGCTGTGCGATTAAATAGACTGGTGATGGGCAACGGATGGTGGCTGCTGTCCTTGACAACGGCAAAAGCTTCCGGCGGTTCGCTGCAGTCATTTTACTGCTCGCTCGTAGCCATCTTACTGCTCAGTTTCCTCAGTGTTGCTTACGTCAAAAGGTGCGAAGGAGGCCTCAATCGAGTCCACAGCAAGTGTCTGACGGAATGCCGCGAGGTCTGCTTTCATCTCTTGCTGCCATTTCTGGACTTCGGCTTGAATTGTTTCCAGTTGCGTCAATGCGTGCTGTTCGTCTTCTTCCGTGAGCTTGCGGACGTACTCGCTCCAGATGGCATAGTCCTCCTCAAGCTTCAGCACCTTCTCGTGAGATTCGGTGATACTCGCCTCGAATTTGTCGATCCGCGTCTTCAATGCCAAGTGGTACTCACGAGAATCGTGCACTATCGTCACTGCTCGATAAATGCCGCCCACGCAAAACACCGCCGCTAACAGCACGGTGATTGTAGCAGCAAATGAGCTAGCCCAGCGCGATGTGGCTGGCGAAGCTTTCATTTCTCGGGCAGCAATGGACTGCTTCGGTGTCGAGCAAGGGGCTGCGCCAGATGCCAAAGGGCTTACGCGACGCTCGTTGCAGACCGGTGCTGACGCCTCCTTCGTGTTGTCGGCTCCTGGGGCACGTCCAAGGTCGTTCGGAAAGACCACGTCATCTTCTTCTGCAGTAGCGCCCTTTTCTTCGTCAACAAGCGCAGCCGCATCTTCGGCAGCCAGTGCTTTTGACGCAATGGCATTCTCACGCATGCCTCTGTCCTGGACAGCCTCTTGATCCTCAGCAAACGACGGATTCAGCCAAGCTTCCAACCGTGTTGGTGGAAGCGCCTGCTTCTTCGGTTCCGAACGGGTGTTGTGTTCATAGGTGAGCGATCGCGGTCTGTCGTTGGAGCTTTGCGTCGGTTGAACCTCCTTTGCAGCAAAGTGCTGCTCTGCCGCATCGAATCGCCTAGTGTGCTGCACATGGCTACCGAGTGTCCCTCGGGTTTGACCAACCTCGTGCACATCTGACAGTGGTGCATCCATTTCTTCCGACGCTAGAAAATCTTGCACGAAATCAAAAGACCCACGCTTGTCAATTATAGCGCCTGTACGTGCACGCAAGTGAGGCGGGCAGCGTTTTGCTTGATGTTCGAAACCGTTGCTATCCTCCGATCGTTCAAACGCACTTTGTAGATCCGCTGCTTGACCAAGTACGTGCTCATCCACCTGCACAGAATCACTGCTACTTCTCGAATGTACACCTTCAGTATCGTTTCCCGGCACCAAAAGCGGGTTCTGAACGTTACGATCAGACTTGTCTGACATATCCAAACGAGGTTCCTCCCATGGTATCGGACCGCGCTGCACCAGTACCTGCTCTCGCACTTCTGTATCCATTTCCGTTGTATCAATCGCATGTTGAGCAAGTGTGTTTTGTTTGTCATCGAGAAGACCACTGTCGTATCGCTCTTCATGTTTCGTGATTGCTCGAAGACGCGTCATTTCTCGTTGAACTTCCATCAAGCATGCCAATGCGTCGGTACCCGTACTTTCCGCTTTCGTTTCCGCAGACATGTCCTCTTTCTTGCATTCTTCCTCTTCACTATCGCTTTGCACACGCGTTCCACCTGACACGATACCGTGCTCACTCGGGTTCAGTTGGTCGTCATGCTGGTGGTCAATAGCATCGCCATCGCTACCACATCGGGATCGACTACGATCCAACCGACGATGTTCCCACTCGGTGTCGAGCAAGTGTACGGCTCCTTCATCACGACGCCACTCGTACAAACCATATCCTGTAGCCAATTCAGCTTCGTCCTCTTCCGCTGCCAGATCGTCATCACTTCGACATGGAGATCGCATGTGGTCCAGCAAAGACCGATTTGACTTGCCACCAAACTCTACACGACCGCTGGCCTCTGCCAAACTGCCAATATCCTCACCATCATCAACGTCAAGGTCTTGTCCACCCGCTAGAGATTCCGCTTCTTGGTTCGGTCGACTGCTGCAAACGAGAGAAGGTGGTGTGGTCGTCGCGGGCCAATGATCAGCTGGATCATCTACTGTCGGCGTTTCAGGAGACGGCATCACAGAGGCATGCGTCTGCAGCGGCAAATCATCGCCTTCCTGACAAGCAAGCGTTCGTCGCCCAGGTCGGTGCGTTACATTGTCGAATGAGGACGAAGAAAGCACTGGGATTGAACTCGGAATCATCTTGCTGAAATACTCGTCGCTTGCGCTCAATGGATTCAGCTCCGTATCGTTCTCTTCGACAAGGTCACTGCCAGCAGGTGTGGACGGCCCGGCACATCTCCATGATTCCATCGTAATACTTTCTGGATCCGAAAGCAAAGATGGTATTTGTTCTGATACGTCGTGGGATCTGGCTGGTGACCCTGGGACATTTCCGATGGAAGAACTTGGACTGCGACTCAATGGGCTCACGCTATAGCAATCCATAAGCTCTCGAATGCTGGGCTGCAGCGAACCTTCTTCGATACTCGATCCACTTATAGACCGCGCCGCAGTCGGTCGACAATAATCCCCGGCTTCAGAGACACACGTCTTGGCAGCTGCGGACGCGTGCGGCAGCGCGGTCTTGTGCATTGCGTGAGCGGCAAGTATGTCAGAGATGTCGCTCGGCTGACTATCGTCAGCTCGTCTGTGCAGATCGGCAGTGACGGATAAACGCTGCACACCTTCTGTCGTCTCCAACGCTGCAGCGGTTGGACTCACGGCCACCTCACTACTTATCGTAGCTTGCTCCAAAACTTCTTGTTGTTCGCACCGGCTTGGCGAAATGCTTCCCGACGCATGCAACCGGGTTCTTTGGTCACGCTTGTTTTGAGGAGATCTGCTAGCGCCTGAGCGCAACAAAGCTCTTCTGCGTAACATTTCGGCTTTAGCGGCCAAATCCGGGTGTTTGTTCACGATAGCCGTGGCCAATGGAGTGTCTTTATGCTTATGAAGCAGCAACAGTTTCGTCTGCTTCGATAGCGTTTCCACTAATGCGTCCGCTTGATCGCTCCTATGACATCCCCATCCCATCGTATACAATACGTCGAATCAGCCACAAGCAGTATATGCCACACCCCATCGCAATAACTCTACCATCTCGACGAGAATCGCAAGAGAGCTTCACGTGCTGCCTCTCGCACGTTCTCGTATTGATCAGATAGTCCGTGTTGTACGATCTCCAGCACGTCCTCCTCCCACGGCAGCACTTCGTCTTCCGACCAGTACACGAGAATGACTCGCAACTGCTCCAGGATCAGCACACGAGGTCGGTCTGCATCGTGTACAACAGAAGCCGCCAGCAAAATATCAGTCATGTATACATACGACACACAAAAGGCAAAACGACAAGCCCGAATCCACCGCACCTTGGTTCGATCGCATGTAAATCGTTTTCAGTAGCGCCAAGTCGTACCGCACCAGTTCCGACAATTTCCGCAAGAGCTTTGCGCCCGGCTGACGGATCGCCGCCAACGTGTTCCGACTCGTGTTGATGATTTGGGGCAATAGAGCGTTTGCCATGTCCTTAAAGTCTCTCTCTGTGACCACAACGATCCGTTGTAGGTGCTCACAGATGTCCTTGACCAGTCTCGATCGAATCGACGCAAGTCCGGCCCCTAGTTCACTCTAGAAAAGAGTACAAAAAGAGATACAACATCATTACTCGTTGCACCCAATGAAAATCGACACGAAAACGCAAAAACCGCATCATAAAATGGCCATTCAAGTCCCCCGTACCGAGAGCCCCAGCAGCAGCTGCACCGCGTCCGAGTAGCCTCCTGCCTCCTTGTCCAGGGTCTCGACAGTGTCCGCGAGCTTTCCAATCACCAGCGATCGCTCCGTCCAATCTGTCTCGGGATCCCGGAGCAGCTTCTGCGTGACTTGGATCTGGTAGCAGCAACAACGATCACAGTACAAAGCCATTGCGAACGAGTCAGATGAGATGCGATGAACGGGACGTCAGCAGAGAGAGCACACGCAGCTCTACCTGCTCCGCCAGTCGCTCCCTGTCGGCAGATGCTCGGGACACTGCCATCTGTCGCTGCGTGTGCGCTTTCTCGCGCTCGTTTCCGCTCGTCCTTTCGCTTGGCGCGCTACCTGACAAAAGTGCAATTGGCAGTGGTGCGACCTTCGGCCGACAATGCTTTTGGACATGCCACGAGATGGTGTGTCGACACATCAATTGACAAGCCACGCCGTTCCTTCAGCGTGGCATAAACAGCCGACTGACGATATATGATCATTGCACGCTGACTGCACACGTAACGAGCTGGACAAGGCAATATATAACGCGAATCGCTGGTGCTATTGCTGTGTATCACGGTCGGTCATCATCATTCGTCTAGTGCCGCCTAATGTGCGTTCACCTGGCGCGCTACGAGGCCCTTGTACAGGCCGTTAGGCAGTTGCATGAGCTGGTCGTGTGTGCCTTGTTCTACGATAGCGCCGTCGTGGGTCACAGCAATGACGTTGGCGTTGCGAATGGTGGACAGGCGGTGGGCTACAATGATTGTCGTGCGCTGCTTGAGCGCGAGCAACCGGTCGAGAGACGCCTGCACGACGCGCTCGCTTTCGTTGTCCAACGCGCTCGTCGCTTCGTCCAGCAGCAGCACGTCCGGGTCCCGCAAGATAGCGCGAGCGATGGCAATGCGTTGCTTCTGGCCGCCCGATACCTGAGCTCCTCGGTCGCCGACATCCGTGTCAAAGCCGTTCGGGAAATTGCTGATAAAGTCAAACGCGTTGGCTTGCTTTGCCGCCTCGACAATCTCGTCTCGCGTCGAAGAAGGCTTGCCGAGTCCAATATTGTCGGCAATCGTGCCTGCAAACAACACCGGCTCCTGGCTGACGAGCGACACGTGCTCGCGCAGCCATTGCAAATTCAGGCCCTTGAGGTCGTGGCCGTCTAGCGTGACCACGCCAGCCGCAGGGTCGTAGAACCGCTCCAGCAGTGAGATCGCCGTGCTCTTGCCGCTGCCGCTGACGCCGACGAGCGCGACCGTTTGGCCACGCGCGACTTTCAAGCTATAGTTCTTGTAGATCTTGGCGTCGGGACGAGCGGGGTACGCGAACTCCACGTTGCAGAACTCAATGTTGCCGTCCACGTGGTCGAGCGACCGACCAGTGCTCGAAGTCGCATCGATAAGCGGCTTGCGGTCGATGACTTTGAACACACGTTGGGCCGATCGTTTGGCCTTGGCTCCATCTGTTGCACCTTGTGCAGCCATTCCGATAGCAAACGTACTGAGCATGATCACTATCAGGACCATGAAAAACTCCTCAAACGTGATGATTCCACGCGAAATCCAGCGACCGCTGACGTAAAAGAGGAACGCCATCACCAAGAACATCGCGCCCTGCGACACGCCAAACGCCATGCCTCCAATGACGCCAATCTTGACGTCAGCTTCCTTCGACACGTTCAAGTAGCTCACGTACATCGTGTTCATCGCTTCTTCCATGCTGAATGAAGCGACCGTTCGAATCGACCCGATTGCTTCGGACAACAGTGAGCCTGCCGCCGTATCAGCATCGTTGTTCGTCTTGTTGCCAGATGTGCCCGCCATTTGCTGGGCCTGAATGAACGAGGATGCAACCATCACAGGGAAGGCTGCCAGCAAAATGAGGGTCATTTGCCAGCTGTAAGAGAACGCAATTGCAAAAGCAATGAAGATCGTGGTGAGGTTCACCAATCCTCGGTTGAGCGTCTCAGATGTCATAGCCTGCAAAATAGCAGAGTCCGTTGCCAAACGAGACACCAGCGCACCAGAAGAGTTCTCGTCCAGGTCGAACCAGCCGATTTCTTGGTGCAGCATCGCACTGAACGTGGCCGATCGCACACGGGTAACAAGCTTCTGCGACACCACGGCGAATCCGTAATGCTGCAAAGTCATCGAAAAAGCAAACACGAGTCCCAGACCGACGAAGCCGAGTGCCCACCATCGCGCCTCGTCCATCATCTCGTCCTTGGTGTAGTCGACCCTGAAAAAGAGCACGGTAATGTTCACCAATAGGACGCCCCACACTGGGAACACCGCAGCGTTCACAATGGCACCGAGAGAACCGGCAAGCAGAAACTTCCATTCTGGCGCTGACATCTTCCAAACTCGCGCCATCGAGACCGGAGGAAGATCGGCGTCACCGATTTCCTCTTCATCCACCGTGTTCACGACACCTCCCTTCCCCGATTCGCTCAGTCGACTGGCCGATCGTCGTGATGATCGACCAGAGCGCAGATGCATATCATCAGGTGATTCCTTGCTTGCTATAGTCGCGTCTTCAGCAACACTCCCTTCTGTCTCTTCGCTCGAAGCGCGATCCTGAGCTTGTACTAGGAGACGGTAGTGCCCATTTTCCAGCTTCATCAACTCATCGTGCGAACCGATCTCTACGATCGCACCACCGCTGTGGACTGCAATACGGTTGGCGTTGCGGATCGTGGACAAGCGGTGTGCAACGATGATTGTTGTTCGGGTCGAGTTTGCTAGTAGGCGGTCGAGCGATGCCTGCACAATTCGTTCACTCTCCGTATCGAGCGCGCTAGTAGCTTCGTCCAGCAGCAAGATCGGTGGATTCTTGATAATCGCACGAGCAATGGCAATCCGCTGCTTCTGTCCACCCGAAAGTTGAGCGCCGCGCTCACCCACTTCAGTCCGATACCCCTGGGGGAAGTCCCTGATAAAACTGTCCGCATTCGCCATCTTTGCTGCCTCAATCACCTGCTCGTCCGTAGCTGACGGACATCCATAGCGAATATTCTCCATGATGGATGTCGCAAAGAGCGACGGCTCTTGACCTACTAATCCAATCTGTGAACGCAACCATCTCACGTTCAGCAATCGCACGTCCACACCATCAAGGGTCACGGCGCCGCTCAGCGGGTCGTAGAAACGCTCGAGCAACGATACAATCGTGCTCTTGCCGCTGCCGCTAGGTCCAACAAGAGCTACCGTCTCTCCTGGCATGATTGTCAACGAATAGTTGCTGCATACTTGTACATTCGCGCGCGACGGGTAAGCAAACGATACTCTGTCAATCTCAATGCGACCCATCACCTTGTCCAGCTTTTTGCCGTCGTCACTGATCGGATCAATCAGCGACGGACGATTGATCGTTTGGAACACGGGAAACGCAGCAGCGCGCGCCGATGTAATCGCCTCGACGCTTGGGGCAGCTTGTCCGATCGCCATGGCGCCCATGATGATAGAAAAGAACACCGTGATCACCCGTCCGCCGTCGTAGCAGCCGTTTCCCGTACAATTGTTGCCATCGAGATTATCATTGGCGACCATAAGAGCGCCAAAGTACATTCCACCTGCGTACGTGAAAAAGATCGTGCCAAACATGATTCCAGTGCCCCATCCGACCGCAAGTCCCTTCTTTATGCCGGCAGTCGTCGACATGCCCAACGCATCGTCGTACTTGGCAGCAAAGTGCCCAATCGAGTTGAACATGTGCACCGTGCGCACGTTGCTCAGCGCTTCCTGCGCCACAGCACCAGCTCTACCGTACGACGTGAGTCCAGCTTGTGTCGCCGTCGACAGCACTTTCATCGACAAGAACGCCGTCACGGCAAGGAACGGTGTGAACGCCAGCAAGATCAGCGCGAGCTCCCAGCCTTTCACAAGTCCAATGACAATGCCGGAGACCGCCATGGAGAAGAAATTGAGTCCGTCGCCGACTTTACGGCCCATTCCTTCTTGGATGGCCACAGTCGCTTCGGCGACCCGCGAGGCCAGTTCCATGGGCTCGTTCACGTCAAACCAGCCAATGTCTTTGGTCAAAATCGCACTCACGTACTCGCTCCGAATGCGCTTTGCTTGGCGCGATGCTGTGATCGTCCAGCACGCGACTTGGAAGCTCCCAGCGACAAAGACAGCGATGCCGACGCCGACAAAGTACAGCGCGACGCTGCTGATGTCGCTCTCAATGTCCGCATTCGGGTCCGACGGGTTGAACGTGTTGAGCACGTCGCCAAGGAGCACGATCTGAATCGGCTGCGCAATACCGGCAGCCAGCGCGCCAATAGCGCCCAGCACCATCAAGAGCTTGTCGACGCCGTCGGCGTAGCCAAAGAGCTCGGTCATGGACACGACTTGGCCGTCCGGCGCGGGCTGGTCCTTGTTGGTCATCCCCGTGTCGCGGGGCTCAACGCCATGGACGCCAACGTCCAGTCGGTCGGTCCCTTGCACGTACTTGGGCGTACCCACTTCCACGTACGCCGCGGTGGAATCCATCGAGAGGCCCAGTGAGCTGTCGCGCAGCAGTGGCTGTTGTGCTTGAACGAGTCCTTCCTGTGGAGTGTGCACGACGAGGACGACAAAGAGAGGGCGGTGGACTACTCACCAGTGGGACCAGTGCGGTCACTTTGTGTGTGTGTTTCCGTGTGTGTTGTGTGCTGTGTGTTGTGTTTCTGTGTGTGTTGTGCGCCTTGAAAGGCAAATTGGAAAGTGAGCGACATGTGGGAGTGGAGACTTATGATGGGCCGAGTGTGTGGCGTTGTGAGCGCAATTGATTGTGCCATTGCGCAATCTGTCACCGCCCGATGGTCGCACGTGCTTCAGACCTCCGACGGCTTTTGACGTCGTACAACCCCATAAGAAGAAAGTGACACGCGCGCGCTGGTGTTGCACACGATTGTCGGCAGCAGCGCCAGTCACAGTCACAGTCGTCTGTCTGTCTGTCTGTCTGTCCAGTGGTTGCGTCAACAGGCGGCAGCGGCGTCTTGCCGGGGGAACGACCGCGACCATCATTCGCGCAACGACGGCGCAACTAAAGAAGGTGTAATGCATAGATGGGACGAGTGCACATAACACTGGCGTTTGTGGGAGGGATAAGAAAAGGCGATGGGGGTGGTGGACGAGGTTTTTTGTACCACACCTAAGCTTCGCGGCGCCTTCCGTGCGAGCTACAGACTGCACCGGCCCAAGCGGTAAACTGCCACGTTAACGTGGTCTGCACGATTCGACCACATTTGGACACAGAGTGTGTGTGTGTGTGTGTGCGGTCCACGCGACTCGTCGTGCGCCGTGCAACTGTAGCGGTAATGAATTGATCGGTCGCAACGAGACAGCGGGCGGGTACCACCTTCTTGACCGTCCAGACCAGAGAGTTGACCCCTAGTGGCAGGATCTCTCGCACTTGAGTCACGGCAAAAGAGGACACAAATGGGTCGGAAACGGTCGTCGCCAAAAAGATTGGCGACGTACGACGACTTGATGACCGTGCGTTGGATACTAATGCACGCGCACTTCGCGCCATCATGAGGTCGTCGCTGAGGAAAGACCGCCACCCTAGTTGCGTCGTGCCATACCGTGACGAGCTGACTTGATAGGTGTCGTGGTCGAAAGCAATGGAGCCTTTTTGTATGGGATTTGTATGTTTGCGTGATCAACTGGTGTAGACGGGAGCGCGCCCTGGTCGATGGCGAAGCCTGATGATAAGACGCGATTGGGAAGGCCAAGGATGCGTGCGTCGGAAAAGAGTCCGTGTGTCTTACGCACTGCTGTGCTGGTACAAGAGCAAGGTAGGAGCTGGACGACGAATATGAAGCAGGGCGGATGCACAGCAGCTTGTCCGAAGGCTGTCGCGGGACACGAAGTAGAAGATCATGGCTGCACCTCAGTTTGCATCGAAGCCGACCGTACGCGATCAAAGAGCTCGAAAGGTGTACACGGGAAGTCATTGCGTTCAAGGCGACTTGCCACCAACGTATTTACCGCCAGCTCTTCCGACAAAAAGGCGACAAAATGGGACGGTAGTGGCTTGTCGGTACCACCCACGTGGTTTTTTGTCCCGACTTAATTCATAAATGTCTTTATTCTGGAAGTGCCCAATCGACTTTGCGACTTAGTTGTGTGGTTGTCAGGCACAAAAGAGGGAGTCCGTCTCCTCTCTTCTCCGCTTTGCGCTTCGATTTATTTAAAGACGACACCCCCGCCAACGAATAATCGAAATATGTACCATGAACAACGCGTCGGTCCGACCTGGCAAAGCAGACCATACCATAAGTCTTCACAGCGCTACCGAACGCGAGTCTCACTGTCGCTGGCGGCACGAGACGAACAGAGCGAGAGGTCTGATATCTCATACTGGATGCCGTGGCGTTGCGAATAGCGCCGTTCAAACGACTTTGCTGTATTTATAGTCCGTGGGGGGTAGAATGCGAGCTACTAGATGTCTCATTGGGGGGGTAGCAATGACACAACTAGTAGCTCTATCCAAGCTTTAGCTGACCGAACTACTCAGGCGAGATCAGATCCGGTGGAGTGCCAGCAATTGATCTTGTTCCACCTTTGTTCACATTTACAAGCCGACAACAACCTTCCAATAAGGACGCTGGGTGTGCTACGTGACGCGACCCTAAACAAAAACAGCTGCATCATGAACACCGTACACTACCGCCTCATCACCCTGCACCATATCTACGTAAAGAACACCGTAAACGACGATCTCACCAAAAAGCCAAACTTCTGGAAAAAAGGACTCGTTTGTTCCACCCCCGCTGTGTCATATCTCCAGCACGCATTTGTAAAGACGTTCGATTCGTTGATCGCTGCTGACAAGGGCTGCAGAACGATTATACTTCTACTCGGTGTGTGCTTTGACAAGTCAGCACAGTAATCACGCAGTTCACGTTTTATAGTCAGTAGACTAAGGCAAACGCGTCAGTTCGCTCCGCACTCGACAATGTTCTCACCCGTCTCACTCTTCAACTACGCTATACTGGCTGCCGGAATCCTAGATCCAGACCGTTCATCTCGCAACGCTCACTTCTTTTCACCGTAAAACAGTCCCCACTTCTGGTCGCCTTCACCGCACCGCACGATCTTTGCCTTCCAGCCGTCCACAATGTACTGGAAGTCCAACTCGCTCGTCTCGGCAACAAACTCCTCCTTGTGCGCTAGCGTGCGCGCCAGCTCGTCCTTCAGCACCGTCACAAACTGTTCCGTGCGGTCTTCCGCGACCACCGAGTGGAACCCGACCGACTCGAGCACTTTGCCGTACTGAGACGGAGACAGCAAGTGGTAGCCGCGGTCCGCTACGTACGCTTTGAATCGGTCCGTCGGCTCCTGCTCGCCCCGGCAGTAGTCCGAAATGAGCACGCGCCCGCCAGGCTTTAGCCAGCGAAAGAACTTGGCAAACAACGCGTGTTTGTCTTCAATGTGCAGAATCGTATCGCGCGAGTACACGACATCAAACGACGCGTCGGGGAATTCCTTTTTCGTCGCGTCACAGATCTCAAACTCCACGTCGAGACTCGAGAGTTGCATCGACGTCTCGAGCGCGCGGTGCACCATATTCGTCGAGAGGTCAATACCCACCACCGCGACGTTGAACTGACGGGCCATGTAAAAGTCGCCGCCGCCAATGCCACAGCCCACGTCCAGCACTCGCTCGCCCGCCTGGAGCTGCAGCTTGGACACAAACTCAGTCGTCGTCGTCTGCCCACCGGTGCTCACATAGCCCGAGCCAAAGATCTTTTCGTACCGCGTGATGCTCTGCGTCGAGTACTGCTGCTCGTCGAGAAACTTCTGGAACGTTGCCACGGCCTCGTTCGCACTGCTCTCGGCAGCGCACAGCGTCACGACCTTCTTGTAGCAAAAGTACACCTGGCCATTGTTCCGCTTGATCTTCCGGTACACGGCGACACTGCCAGACGACTCGAGGCTCAAATAGCCGATTGCGTGGTGGCCCTCTTTGTCTTCGTGCGACACGACTGCACCAAACGCCCCCACGTAGAACGCTGGATGCCGATAGTGCGTCGGGTTTGCGCTGCGCGCGACGTCGCCCGACTGGCGGAAACACGACTCGCGGAAGAAGAGCTGTCCGCCTGGACGCAGCCACTGGACGGCTTTGGCGGCAAACGCCTGCACTTCGGCGTCGCTTAGGTACATAAAGAGCCAATTGGAAAAGATCACGTCGAACGACTGCGGCGGGTACTCGAGCGTCACGACGTCCTGACAGACAAACGTCACGTTCGCCAAGTGGCCATTGGCCGCGACGTTGGCCTTGTGGAAGTCGTCAATGAACTCGACGGCCGTGACGCGCTGGGCGCGCGGGCCAATCAGCGCCGTGAACCGCCCAATGCCGGCCGCGAGCTCCAGCACGTCCTGCTGGTCCATGCACGGCGCGTGGGCCATGATCTCGGGCCGCTCGAGCTCGTGCAGGAGCTTGGCGTTCGAGTCGAGCATCATCGTCTCCACGTCTGTGGTTGCGCTGTGTTCGGTCCAGTACGACTTCATCTGGTCGCGCGTGGGCGGCTCCGGCGGCATCGTTGGGGCTCTGTTTCTGGGTCAGGGGAAGTGGCAGCACACAAGTGGCAGTGTGCAAGTGGCAGTGGGCAAGTGGCAGTGCGTGTGGGAAGGAGCGACGACGTGTCGCGGTGGCAAATTGTGCAATGGCGACGCGAAGAGGACGCGGGGCTGATGGGTTGTGTGTAGGTGGTGTGGCAGCAAGGGCGAGTGGGGCTGGGGGGGCGTTGTGTACCCATGTTGAAGCTGATGCCAATTGCGTGTTCAACGAGTGCTCGTCGGATGGACGGCGTTTGTGGTGGGCGATACAAACGGCAAGAGGATCACGGGGTGGACCGTGTCGACTCGATTAGTAGACCCTTGTGGCGCCGAGGAAAGATGTGGCAAGGAGTGCATCGCTTGGGATTGGCAAACACGTGGGGTTTTTTCGAAAAGGTGCCAGTTACTTGGGGGATGTTTGCCCTTTTGTGGAAAGCCTACCGAATCTGTGAGACGATGGCGTCACCTTTTGTGTTGACGTCGTCAGCACAGGTTCGTGTGTATGACAAGAAGTCACGTCCGATTGGCTGCCGCGGCCTATCGCGTTGCAGAGCTCGTGGCTACAAAGTACGTGTGACGTCACAAGGCGCAGGCCATTGTGTCGACGAGTTCGAGCACGTGCGTGTTTGGAACAGGGAATCGGTTGAGTATACACAGCCCCTGTCGATCCGCGATCACAGATACCGCAGTCCTGCGACTGCGTGTGCTCCTTTTGTAGCCATTTGGGACTACTTCCAGCGGCCTCGACAGTCTATTTAAATCTTGAGGCGATCCATAGATGGCACACGTCAAGTGAATGATCGACAAGGGCATGAAAAGGCAGACGTCTGGACGGACTATAGATAGTTTCCAACTACATACGGAGCTACGTGCGTGCAGAAGAAAGCACGTCGTGTGCGCACGTTTCGAGTTTGTCGTACTTTGTGTGTGTGTATGTTGTCACGAAATTTGTGAGTCGTTGTGGTAGCGGGAATCAGATCCAGTTTGCGCATGACAAAAGGAGACCGATGTCGCCATGAGAAAACTGGACTCAGATTTTTGTACACTTTGTCTGAAAATCGCTCGTTCAACGCGTTTCTGAACGTACGGTGTAGTCGTTGATGACCGAGACAATGCTCCTCGACCTCTGAAGTAACGTGTATGGACGACGTGTTCTTGTGCTGACAGATTGGTCGACTGCATACCACTTTGAGATTGATTGGTGTAGAGTTGCCACAGATAAAATCGGTAGACAAAGTTGTTGTAGCCCTCGGGCTTTTTTGAGTCGTAATGACTGTCTGTGGCAATCTAAGATGTGCGTTGAACTCGATGACGGTCTGTCGCCTCCTTCAACAGACGCAAGCAGTTGGACTCGTTGCATTTCTGTATTCGATCCGTCGGCAGTCTCGTCATGCACATGATGGTATCACGAGCTTTGTCTGTCTTGACTGTGCTCTATCTGGCGCAAACGTCCGTATCGCCCGTTCATTCATGCTGCCAAACTGCCCGCCTGCAAAACATCTGCTAGCACAGATTTATCATGCGCGCCGTTTCTAAAGACAGGATACCGCAGATCTGACATTGCCACTCGAGCGCACGCGCGTATGCGGTTATCGGCCAGACTTCATCCATGTGGAAGCAGTCGCAATCCTCGGAATCCACTTGACGCAGAGTTGCAGACACTGTTACACATATCTGCATCCAGTAGACGAAACGTTATGATGAGATCAGCCCATCTAATTGACGGTATGCTTGCGATATGGCTATTGACTTTATCTCAATACACTGTTCACCACCACAAACGAAACAAGACGAGGAGATAAAGCACGGGATAGTGACAAAAGCACATCTCGACACGGTCCATGTCTTTTTGGTCTGAGCTGGGGTCACCTCGCACCTGACCCGTCTCACCAGCGCTTGTCTCATTTTGTGTCAACGATTCATTGCGCTTTGCTTCATGAGACTTTCTCATCACACCAACTCCAATAGTGTATGAGCCCTCCGGTGCCACTTTCGATACGGCCTCCCAACAGCTTTTTCGAGCAGCGAGAGCGACCGTGACAATGACGGACCCCTATCTGTCTTTCGACATGTCACTCATCCGTCACACAGCGGGCAACTAACTGATCGCATACGACTGTGACAAAGTCCGGCAGTGCTTACCCCGTTCGGAACACTGCACCAGATGTCGCGTGTCCATTTCGATCGTTCAGACGATGCAGCAAAACTCGTGACCCATTGTTGCCAAAGTCTAGGGAGGTGCATGTGTGGGTTAATGCTAGTTTAGCTCGTCCTGAATGCCCTGCTCCGTGATAGAATAGATGGCCTCTGATTCTGGCAGAATAGGAGAATCCACGACCTTCATGACACGGTTTTCACCGCGGCCCTTCCGCAGGCGAAGTCTGCAGCAACAAAGAAGCGTTCCAACCATCATATGTCACCGACACGCACACACTTCTGACTCATCTTGCAGCAACGCACCTTGTGCAGGACGCATGCGCCATGATGTTGCCGCCAATGGGCTGGAGCGGGTCCTTGGCAAACATGCCCGAGTCCGGATTTGCAGTCATCTTACAGCGCACAAGCAGAGTAGTCAGTACCATTGCTATACATGGCAGAGCTGGAGACTTTGTCAGTGTGTAAAGTACCTGGTTTGTGATCACGACTGCAACACCAAACTCGTCGGCCATTCGTGTAAGAGCACGAAGGAACCTACGCAATTACCAAGCAATTGGCCTGATCAGCACACGGCATATAGCAGCAACAAGGTAGTGTGTAAGCGGCATACTTGGCCAGTTCCTGCTGTCGAGCTGCTAGCTCTCCACGTCCCGAGTAATCGGTTCGAAACAGCGCCGTCGCGCTATCGACAATCACGAGAGCAAATCGTGACTCGGCCATCATAGCCGACGCTTGAACCAGCAGCTGCATCTGGTGCTCCGAGTTGTACGCCCGAGCAAACGCCACATTGTTCAGCACACTATCGCCATCAAGACCGTATCGCTCTGCAATAGCCTGCAACCGTTGTGGACGGAAAGTGCCTTCTGTGTCGATGAATAGCGCCTTGCCTTCTCCACCACCACGATCCACCGGCAATTGACAAGTCACACAAAGCTGATGACATAGCTGTGTCTTGCCCGTCCGGAACTCGCCAAATATCTCTGTGATTGATCCCGTCTCGACACCACCTTCAGACACAGTCACCATTACGCGTTGTTGGCCCAGAACGTCAGCGCAAACCGTTTTCTCATTAGCAGCACATGAACGCACGCACCTTTCAGCAGCTCGTCAACAGCATTAGAGCCCGTGGACAATGTGATCAGATCCTTCCGGCTTTCTAGCACATCGGCTGCCTGCACAAAGCAATGTACGCCACCAATCACACACACAACTCAGCAACGAACAAGTCTGCACACATATTCGGCCCCAAAACGAGTGCAACAACCAATGGCGCACCGTCGTGAACCCAACATTGACCATCTCTCGAGCTGCTTTGAGCATCTTCTCTGCCTTGACTTCACTGATTCCCTTGATCGCTACCAGCTGCTTCTTGGTCGCCATCGCCACAGCATCAACCGTGTGCATGCCAGCCTCCTTGAGTTTGTTCACGTCCGAAGCATTGATGCCAGCTTGCTCGAGAATGTCCACGAGACGAGGTCCTTGCTGAGACGAAGAGTAGCCATCGCACCGTCATTGATACCATCGTCACATCATTATTATTAGGCATCAAAAGAAATAAATTAAAAATAAAAAAATAAACAAGAAGTAAATAATTAACATCATTTTTGACATCATAACAACGCACAGAAAGGAAGAAAAAGACGTCAGTAATGCGACCACGAACGAAAAAAGAAGCGACAAGAAGACACACTGCACATGGCTACACAAACTCGACATTGCACAAGGCCTCGAGCTGCAAGTGGCCAAGCGCCCTACCAACTCGTGCTCCTCCACGTGCATCTGCTGCTGCTGCTGGTGCTCTTCTTCCTCATACGCGCTGTTCATTATTGTCGCGTCGCTGCCGTCCACTCGGTCGCTTTCTTTGCTCTGTCTCTGCGTCTCTCTCGCGCACGTGTAACCCTAAGCGTGAAACGGTAATGGCTGTAACCCGAAAAAGCGGCTGATGTTTGTGTCGTGGCGTTCATTCTGTCTACGAAACCGCCTCGCTGCTCCATTTGTTTTGTCGCGCTCGACAGGCGTACTTATCCGGACTCTAGGTGCGTGTTTTCTAGCTTCCAGTCGTGTCGAAATTGGCTTCGAGCGACGGTCATTACCGGTACGTCGAGATGGTACCGAACCGAAGCGGCGAACGGATGTTGGGATGTCGAGATGCTGCATATGTGGTAAACGTACAAGACTCGTACGGACTGCACCTATGTTTTCAGTCGAACCACGAGTATTCTCTGGATGGTACGGCAATTAAGTTGGTATAATGACAATCATAGATCGTGATAGTAGCAGCGCGTTTGTCCAACGGATTATCTTTGCCATTGTCTTGACAGCTTTGCCAAGGATATATATATGAGGATACAAACATGCAAAGTATAACCCATCGAACAACGTTCTGATGCGCTGCTGCTTTCTTAGTATACCTCGAGCGCTTTAGGGCTTCGACAGTATACTGAAGCCACTGCATCTCATGGACGATGTGAAGGATCCGACACTTAATGTAGTGAACATTCGAGTCTGTTGCAGGGTCCTATTGAGTGTGTACACGAGTGTGGGCAACGTAACAACCACAAGATGCCACGGGTTCAGTATCGCATAGCGTACAGGCTCGACGAGCTTTCGTGATGCATTCTGAGCCACGCATAGTCCTACTCAGTGGCGAATACCAGCAACTTGGCAAACGTCACTGCAGCTTGCTGTGCTTTTGTATACAGTCTCATCAGCGTCTTAATCCGATCATTGGCGTCGACATCGACAGTCTCAGGTAATCTTGCCGCTATCATCTCCAAGCGGTCGTACAACTACTAATGAAGCAACGAAGAAGGGACTTGATATTTGCAGCGTGGGGAGACGAGTCAAGGGCTCGCGATAAAAGTGCGCTGCGATAGCGATCGACCGTCGTCTTGTTTCAGTGTCGGCAATCTCTCTTGGGCGCGTTGGTGTGCTCGCCGCTGTAGCAGCGCAGTTCGCACACACTTCGTACACCGAAAATCGCTGTTGAAGCTATACAACGAGCAGGTCTGCGTCAACGCAGACGGGTGGAATTGCGTATGACAGTTGGCATGCGAGCTACTCGAATGGATATGTTAGACTTTGTAATTGACGTATACGGCCATTGCGGTGGGTGGACGAGCAGACTATAAAAAGCCCTTTGACTTCTCTCCATTCACGCGACAGCCTTGACAAAGACCTCTTGTGTGGGGCAGTACAAATTACACGCATTGCATCGCGCTCTACTGCCACGCGAGTTGTAGTCCATACACGTGTCCTGGTCGAGTGGATGCTCAACAGTGCCGTTGAGAATGCGTCCGAGGGACGCAGATCGAGTGCAACTATCTAGACTGGACGTAATGCGGCCTCGAGTACTCATATATCGTGCAGAGTCGAGTATACTTCTACGAGTCGGCTGCTCATGGCAAACTCGAGCACTTGCTGATAGCTAACGTACAGTTACGATTCTTTCTGTCGATTGTCGTTCGTCGATAACATAGTGCAAGTTGTAGTCGTCAACGGTCTTGACACGTACGGTATGCGATGGCTGTATTCAGACGTTGGTCAGCCATCATTTCCCGTTTGAGCTGCCACAGTGGTGCTCGATTCGGCATTCGAGTAGCAGGTTTTCGCCACTGTAAAGGTGATTCTTTGCGGAGTGGCCCATACATCGTCGTCATGACATGTTGCTCATGTTACTCATCATGATCAGAACCATTAAACTCAGATCTTTGACAATGCGATCGTTCTTCGCACCTGCTTTATCCTCCTACACAAATGGTACGACACGTCCCACACCAGTCATTGCGTGTAACTTACTGCACGAGCGTATTGAGGTCCACGCGCTGCTCGAACGGCAGCTGCGATAGTAATTCAAGGCAGCAATGCAACCTTCTTGCATGAACGATATTATGTTAAGCTATACCATAAGACTCCACCGACCCTTGAGGATCGTCGTTTCCGTCGATACGAATACCGCTTTTTACAAAAAGCGAACGACTCTTGTTCGTCATCTGAAAAACAAAGTCGATCTTGCTTAGAAATTGCTTAGAAATCCACAATTGTGTCCTCGCAGACCACACTGCACACGAGCCGTTTCTCACACGCCCACTCACCCGCACCGGTTGACCACATTGAACTGCTGACGCTACTGCGGACAAAGGTCTGCGTTGATCATGGGACCGCCGTCTCTTCTGCACACAGCGCTCCTCGCGTTCCTCGTGCTCAGCGCCGTCACGGGCGTGTACTTGTTCTTCCAGTCTGCCCCCAACGCCGAGTTGTACGTCCCATATCGAACCCGTGCAGGCAATTGCTGCTTCGATTTCTAAAGTGCGTTTCTAATCGAGCTCATTTTTGTGTTACCGCCACGTTTTGGCACTGTGCAGCGCCGAATGTGCTCCGATTTCGGTCTCTTACGTTGTTCAAGGTGTATTGCCCACGTGGCTCCACGGACGCAATGACAAAATGGGCACTGTCCAGGGCCTCTGGCACTGCGCTCGTCAATACCGCGAGCACCACGCGGGCTTTGTGCTCTGCAGCTTTTGCCTCGTGTACATCACGTTGCAGGCGTTTGCGATCCCGGGCCCCATTGTGCTGAGCATTTTGGCGGGTGCGATGTACCCATTTCTATCCGCCCAACTCCTCGTGGCGTTTTGTGCGACCACCGGCGCCTCGCTGTGCTTTTTGCTGTCGTACTTTGTCGGACGGCCCGTCTTTGGCCGCGTGCTGGCGGGAATGCTCGGGCGGTTCAAGGCCAAAATTGCGCAGAACCGGTCCCATCTGCTGTACTACCTGCTGTTTCTGCGGATTACGCCACTGCTGCCGAACTGGTTTGTCAACATTGCGTGTCCCCTCGTCGACGTTCCGTTCCGGGCGTTCTTCCTCGCGACGTTCGTTGGGTTGATCCCAGCCAACTTTCTGCACATTTCAACGGGCGCAGCGCTCAATAGCGCAACGGGCGCCGCGAGCGGCTCGAACGCCGTGAACTTTGCAGTGCTGTTTTCGCTCCAGTTTGTCGCCCTGCTGCCGACGCTGATGAAGAGCAAGATTGAAAAGTACGAGCAGAGGGCGTTTGAAAAGGCGGAGACGAAAGTCGAGTGAGTCGTGGACGAAACCAGTGTGGATCGGACCGGTTGGTGCTGGCGTGGAGATATAACGCAACGCAAAGCGCAGGTTGACGATAACGCGCGGGTTGCAACGTTCATGCCATGTGACGCTGTCGCTGTGCTTCGGTTGTTGGTTACAATGTCACACGCTGTGCTCGGCAGTGTTGAGTATTTGACCTGCGCTTGTGCTGGATCCGACTCTTTGGTTTGGTGTTGATACTGCTGTGCAAAGTGGGCGTCGGACTATTTCAGATGGCTTCTTGTACGACATGCATCCGAATGCAGACACCATCTCGTGCTCTCTCAATGAGGTGGTATCCTGGTCTATCCATCGTCCTGTCCTGTGTGGGTATAGGCGATATTGCTGGGGTGGAGGCTCAAGGCATCGATACGCGTATGGAAAGCTTGTGCCACGCATGTACGGTGCAGTGCGTCTCTGTCTGCATGTGACGTGTCATTCGACTGCTACTTTGCACGAAGTGGACCACGTGCACGATCCATCATCACCAATAGTAGGCAGCTTGCGTCCGTGTGGCTACAAAGGCTCTTCGATACAAGTGCATGATACAAAAGCAGCAACAACTTACTAGTCGCTTCACGAGCACTTCGACTGATATCAACACCTTCGACTGATATCGTCAACCCCTTAGTAGATACCGCGCACCTGTAATGGAATGAACGCGCCATCTCATTTGCTACGCCATGTAGCAGCTTCAGCGCGCATGCCGATAAGGGAAGTCGTCATTTTGTATCGTAATGGGTTTGGAGCAATACTCATCGCAAGGTAGAAACACGCACCGCTTTCGACATCGATTATAACATGACAAGCGCACTGGAGGCACTGCAGTTTGCACGCACATGCAGAGACTGTCCGGTGTACAAGACGTGCTTCACGTCAACGAAACAGCTCTATGCCAAACGTGATCGACGTAAGACTCGGCACTTTTGTGGCTAGGAGACCCGAAAATACAGTCAGATGGACAACCGAAGAGAGGACTGTTCTCTACAGCGTTGCCGCTAGGTGAGTATCGGTGGTAGTTAGCGGAAGTCGACGGAGTGGCAATACTGCACAGTGACAGGTCGCACATACTTGAAGCCTCAGGTCACTCAAGTCTCTTCGTTCAGTTCAAGACGACGCCGTTAGACGATAACGTGAGCTTCCCGTTTTCGGGATACTTCCAGGAAAGAGCTCATAGACCAGACCTGCCGAGCTCTGTGTATGATATGTACTGTATCCGCTCAGCTCTATGACCCTTCTCACTGTCGTAGATCATGCTGTTGTAAGCTCATGTGGCGCGATTGTACCGTTCTATCGGTCAGAGGCTCTTGCTTGACGTGAGATAATGCTGCGGCTGCTGCTGCTTCGGCGCTCCGATGACTTGTAGTCAACTACGAAGAAAAGAAAGGAACAGGGCGTACACATCGCTCATCGATACACTCTGTCGTTATTGAGGCCGCGTCTTACAGTATACGTCGAAGTCGTTCTCGCTAGAAAGGAGACAAACATTGACTACGTGTAAGAAGCGCTACTACCGCTCTCTCTCTCTCTCTCTTCTAGTGTGATCACTGACGCTCGAAAGGGCTGTCCATGGCTTGATGCGAAGTGGGTAGTGATAACCACTATCGCACAACTCTGCTCATGGTGCCCACTTGTACTTTAGGCAATGATCCGCTGCAGCACGAGCAGCACTGGAATACTTCGGAATGCACAAGTGGCCGAGTGCGCTGGACGCCGTGTCGATGACCACGAGCTCGCAGTTGGTCCACATCGGGTCACAACACTTGCACTGGGTACCGATCTCGTTGTGCTCACATCATCCACGCATCACTATGTCTTGACCTTTCGCTTGACTCGGATCGAGCATCCAAACGCTACGCAAGAACCGCACAGTTACATGTTCGATCCTTTGCCCGTCTCGGACAGGACAAGTCGTGTCCCATCTCGTCGCTTCCCATCTCGAGGTCTGCAGCGAAAGGTATACGCGTTGGTTCGCATCGGAAGTTTCTCATCACTCGTGTCGAACGCAACTTCTTGTCTCGCATTCGAGCGCAACTACCTGCTTGTGCTTTGCCACCACTCGGGAATCGGCCAACTGGAAGCGAGATGGTGCACGTTACTTTGGTCTGTGCGGTCGTCGGCGTACGTGAGGGCGTATTCTCACTGAAGATCGACACGAAGGGGTGGGAAGATCAACTGAAGGATGCGATCAAGGCGGCGAAGCCAGCGCTGATTCCGTGCGAGGCCCGTACCTTGCGGCTCTTTTTGGCGAAGAGGGCTGGCAGTGATGTCTGGTTGACGAAGGAAGAGGTGCAGCAGGACGGGTTTGACACGAGAGAGCTGCGATCACTGAGCGATGCGGCGGTGCCACTGAGCTGGAACGGCTTATCGGAACAAGAGGTGGGGACGCAGATCAAGGGGGAAGGAGAAATAGCTTTCCATAGTCCTGTCCACGTGCTGGCAGTGCTTCCGTCGGCTTTGTCGAGCATGTTGAGCGTCCCACTCGATGTCGGAGGTGTGACGATTAACGTGACGAAGCACATGGTAGTCAATGATCCACCATTGATAGCCTACTGGAAGGCTCTTGCAGCGACGTCTACCGAAGTCGTTGCGGGGACTGTGGTCACGTTGCCGAAAGGAATATACCTTCTGGGTGACCCAGCGCTCGGCTCTCACATCTACGTTCGTCGTTGCTTCCCTGAGCTCTGGATGAGCTTTTACGGAAGTGACGAGGGTGTGGGCATCCTTGGCACCTCTGGGATCGGCAAAACGTATGTTGGCTACTTTTTCTTGCTGTGTCTTGCTCTTCGTGGGAAAACAGTCGTGTACGAACGTGCTGGAGCCCACGAGTGTATCTTGTTCTCTGGCAACGTGGCGGTGCGAGGGCCACGGGAGGATTTCAGCGACGTCCTCCTGAAGCCGGATACGTGTTATGTGGTCGATGACGTTGAGCCAAAGCATTGCCCAGCAAAGACCATGTTCGCTTCTTCCTCTCATCTGCAAGTGCGGGCGTTGTCTTCGAGATTGGGATGCAAGATGCCTAACATACCGCTCTGGTCGAAGCTCGAGACATCGCGCTGCCGTGAGCTGATGTTCTCGAATACATCGGTCGCCATGGTGGAAATGAATTACCATTCGTTTGGTGGGCCTCCACGTTTCATACCATTGCAGAAGGCCGTATGCGGAAGCGCAACACCCGACAGATCCAGTTGTGAACACGGTAGGGCGTCGATGGATTCGCCTGCTAGCAAGCGCCGACGAGGGGATATTGATCCGCTTGCTACTTCAGTAACCTCAAATGACGGCGAAAAGGGTGAGCAAGTTGTTTTGGACAACGCTACGTTCCGGGAAGAGAAGGCGTTGGTCCAAGATGAACAAGAGCGGTCGAAGAACGAAACGTCTCAGGAAGAGGAGGCTTCAGTCCAAGATGAACAAGATCCAACGACGAGAGATGCGATCCAGGAAGAGGAGGTTTTGGTTCCAGATGAGCAGCGGACGATCCCAAAGATCGGAAAAGCTGAAATGGCGAACGCCCAGCAGCGGACTGAAAAGCTTGAGCGAGTGAAGCGCATTTATAAATGCTGTAGGCTCATGGAGGAGGCCTTCATCACCGAAGGGGCATCAAATTCTGTTGTGAAGGAAGTGATCAAGCAGCTCGCTGCCAAGTATGGCCTTCAGGTCATTCCTACGTACCTGACGACCGGAGCTCTAATCTCGACGGGAAGCCGAAGCACGGAGAAGAGCTCTGATAATCGGCGTCCTTCGTCCACAAAGCAGAGGGGACAGCAACCTGTGACGGCCGCTTGGCGGACTGATCCCGTGACGACACAGCTTCTGCGCGAGCGCGAAGAAGTCGTCGGTAAGCTGAAGAGCCTTCCCCGTGATTCTTCCAAAATGGACGGCTTGCAAAAGCAGCTTGGTGGCTATAACTTGCGTATCAAGGCTCGCAAAATCGAGGTACGCGCTGCACAAAACAACTGACGGGTTGGGTTGCGCATGGAACGAAGGACGTTTGTTGTTTATCCTCTTGGGACAGCATGAGATGATGATACACAAGTACCTTCGACAGCTGCAAAGGAATTCATTGCCTATCGTCAACTCCATGGAGTCTGCATACTCAGAACGAAAATACACACCCGATTCGATAATGACCACTGCTGCAAACATTGCCCGGCTTGCTCTGCGCGTATGCTTGTAGTATAAGGTTTTGTCTCGATATGTAATGATCGGAGCAAGGCATCAACGCAAAGAAACATCGGTAGCACTGGATGTAGGTGATCGCATTCCAGGTATATGTGGCATTTCACTGCATACTGCTCGTTGCCTTGAGCTTGCTCACTTTGGGGTGAGTGGCACATCAGGTGCACAAGGTCAGTATCAATAGCCGCGTTGAGTTCATGCTCGATACACGTGGTGGTTGTGGCAGGTTGCTTGTCTTTATTGATGCCGAACACTATAAGTACTGATGGCTAGCCCACCGACGATTGAGCTCATCACTCTAATCGCCTGCACTCGAAGTCGCTTGACAAATCTGTATGACGCCAAAGCGCCTGTGTATATTGTGCTGCGATACTTTGCGTAAGAACGACGCGCCTTCGGCCGTCGTGACGATGTTGGTATCATCGTTGCGAGTGTGTCCTCACCGAAGTTTGACACGAATGCGTATCTGCTTGCAGCATTCTGGTCAACTACACCTATCAAATACAACAAACGAGATCGACAATGCAGTAGTGTTCTAATGGCGCCCTGGCAACAGCTTATGGCAGAGTCGAGCACTTGCTGATAGATAGAGTAAAGCTGCTTATGTTTCGGTCCGCTGTTGTTCCTCTGTAACACGATGCAAGTTGCATTCGTCGATGACGTTGAGATGTATAGCATGCTATAGCTGCAACCGAACTCTGTCCAGCCCTCACTCCTTCTACATTACTACCACGACGATGTCTGCACTCTGTATTTGCTGTGAGATGCGACGCGTGCGGAAAGCTACGTCATGTATCAGACCAGAAGGTTAGTGGTAATCAGAATCCGGGGAATGAAGGGCTATCGAAATCGGGAGACGCCGAGTAGGCTACTGCAACGTCAAGTTCACATACGAACGCATCAGTTCGAGAGGATCCATCATGACCCGTCGACAGTATGAACCGCTACACAGCCCGAAATGCACGCGCATGATGCACCATTGCTGAGAGCCGCAAACTAACACGAGAGGTAAAAGCTACGGTCCGTAATAGCTGCTGACCGACCTCTTGCTATATTCGTTGACAACCTGCTCGAGAAGATGATTCGACACCCTACCTCGGTTGCTGTCTGGATGCAAATGCACCATAAGAATGACAAGCGCGAAGTCGCAATATAGACTGCCACGAACACGTATAAGTGCAGATGCCCCATTCGTGCTCCATCAGGGTGAGCTTGGTGTGTATGTGTGTGAGCTACTTGCTTGCACTTTCTAAGTCAGCACTACAGACAAACTGTCTATTGACCAGGTCATCCTCAACAACGATGCTGGTTTGCATGTACTGTGTCGACGTCAGGACACAACATCCACTGTGAAATAAGCGTCTTTTATACTAGTGCAGTCAGCGCGATCATCCCGTACTTTGACTTGATTACACACATACAGGAGCAGAAGTGTGCACCTGCAAGCCTAGAGATGATGTCTTTCTGTAGACAATCGAATAAAAGGTTCGCAGCGGTAGCTGAGATATCCGTTTCTTCTACTGACATGACGAAGTAGTCCTGTCGGCATTGTCAAGAAGGATCATGGTGCCATCGTTCGAAACCAGGCACGATAGCAAGAGCGTATACAGCGCCAGGCGATGCGACTTGAGACCTACTGCTGATGGATTCATCAGCAGTGGGAGTCGTCCCAGTCGACTTAAATCCTACGAGTGATGTTGTTATTCGACGTCGTTGATAGGAGCTGAATTGCCAGTTCCCCCACACCCAAAGACACGTATTGGACAATGTATCCTTGGCAACGACGAAAAGACGCATCAACTGCACACGCCGTATCGATCGAGCACATAGAGTCGTTACCGTCACCCCCTGCTTATGCCTAAGCTTCCATTGCACCACAAATCTCGCATTTGTTGCTGTTCGAAGCCGCGATGGCCCTTCACGTATTCGATGTGCTGCAACTAAAAATTGGCTCGGTCGTAACGAAACTAGTAGACCCTTCTGAGTCCTCCTCCTCTGCATTTGCTGACGCGCGCTCCTCATGTATCGCAACATGGCTTTGCGTGGCATACGTAATCGATTCCTGACGTTTACACTTCCTACTTCGTACTCTCATTTAACAGCAAATTTGAAGTGAATCTTTTCCTTCGCTGTTCGCGTGAAATGGATTGTTCAGATTGAAGTCATATCGGTTAAAGCACAAGTCTTTGTACCATGTGAGTCACTCTTTGTCAGAAGTATGCAGGAAAACCCGTTACTGGACACGAGAGATCGCGTTCACAGCAGTCGGTATCCATCAATACACGATTGCTCACGCGAAGGTGATAGTTTAAGCGATGAAGTCTGTTTTTGTCGTCGTAATCCACTTGTACCTTTATGGCCGTCTCTGATCGAATACGGCAACCGTGCGGGATCGACGACTACTGACTATCTTATACTATGGAGCAATCGAGACTGATGTTGCCAGTGGACTTTTCCCGTCCGTACATCAACGCATGCGATCCGATAAACGACAATACACAGGTGTTACGAACTCACACATAACCTGTCTCGATATGATCGAGAGCGACGAGATGGTCAAAGTAGTCAATCGGCCCTTAGTCTGAGGTAGTCAACACGATCGATAAACGACCCTAGTTTTAGTTTGTTTACGATTGTATGTCCCGTCATGTACCTCTCCTCGGGTACATGGCTACTGACTTTATTGCGAGGGAACGTCAGTTATCCCCATATCCACTGGCGGAATGGTACGATGCGCTACTGCAAACACGGCCGCTACTGAGCCAGACCGTTGCCGCACGTACCACTTGTGGCTCCGTCTCGGTGCTTTTCTTTTGCTATTGATTAGCACTGCGTCGCTGATGTCGGTGTTACCAGTGCAAAAGTACCTCGAGGCCACTTCGACGTGGGTAAAAGGCCATTCTATTCTGGGCACCCTGGCGTTTGTTTTGGTATTTTGGGTAGCCGTGCCACTCTGCCTCCCATCTACGGCGCTGGAAATGATGGCGGGGTCACTATTTGGCGTTCCGTATGGTGTCTTGGCATCTGTCGTGGGGAAGACGGGGGGATCCACGGTGACGTTCCTTTTGGCCCGAGCTATGGGCAGAGACATGATTGGCACTTACTTACGGTCCAAGTTCCCGACGTTTCAAGCCCTGTCTGACGTGCTAAATAGTCAGAGCTGGAAACCCATTCTGCTCTACCAGCTGTCCAGTATCCCGAATGTTGTCAAGATTTACACTCTCGCAATCACTCCCGTGTCCGTCGCTCGATTTGCACTGTCTGCGGCCGTGGGCAACGTTCCTCATGCGCTCGTGTGGGCCTATATTGGTGCACAGGCAACTGACATTGCAGCGACTCTGACGGGAAAGACGGAGATGACAACGAGTCGGATCCTCGCCATTGTCACGGGCGTCTCGTTGACAGTATTGGCGATGACGATCCTCGTCGTGTACACGAAACGGCAGTTGCACGAGCTGCAGCGGCGCGAGCGCCGTAGCGGCAGCGAGGAAGAACTGACGCTTTCGATTACAACAGAGCACACGACTGTGTCGAGCGTGAAGGGTGCGCGGGATGGCTAAGTAACACACTCACGCGATACATTTAGGTTTGGGTACGCGATGAGCGATGTGATACTTCTGTCTGCTTTTTGTCGTCATTTGTGACTTGTGTTTATGTATTCCCTGCACATGGTAAACGAAGGATTTGTGTCGAAGATCTTGTGCTGATTGTTTGCCCATTATGTTGCACATGATCGCTAACAAGTGGCAACAACGGGTAGCGCCTTCGTACATTATGCGCGCGTTGCATGTTAGTTTGGCATGTGTGCAAAGCAAAGACAGCCGCCATTCGAAATGTAGGCGACGGAGTTGTGACACACAGTCGCTTGGACCGATGTAGCCGTAAGTGATTGCCACACTACGTCAGTGTTCGTAGGTTACACCAGCGACTGTAAATGCGGTCAGCATCGAACATGTGTCTTCTTACCAACAGTTCGGGAAACAGTGTCGAGTCGGAGTTTAGTCATCGAAGTCGAACCTCACACTGCATCTGAACACTCGAATGCAGCACAAACCCAAGCGAAGTGTAGTTATGGCGGAAAGTGCATTTGCTGTAAATGGCATCTTGTCGATAGCCATACAATGCACGATTTCCTCCAGCGTGAGCTTCAGCCTATCCTGCTATGAAAATGAACATGACGCTGCCGCTTTTCACTGAAGGACAGGACGTTTAAATTGACAGCCTCGTAGCTGTATAGCAAGACACGTGTTCTGCGTTGACGTCCATTACGAACGTAGCACAATACAACAGAGACATCTTCTAGTTTACGACAAAAGCGTTGTTTCTACACAGAAATACAAAGAGACCAGATCTCGGCTGTTTTAAACACTGTCAGACGCGGCCCTCCGTCGTTTTCGCTCTCGCCCACCTCATTGATGACGCGACGAACGTAGCTGCGGGACCATCACTCTCCCTCACACATGGACACACACAAACTTGTGGCCTGCTTGTCGATGCTGAAAGTAAAGTGGCGTTGCGTCATGTGGTCGATCGATCGCTCTAAGTACGAACGTCAACTCGTTGTTCGCCAAGAACCAGAACAACCGCCGCGACGATTGACACCGACCGTTGCCGTTGTGGGCCTTTTTGCATGGACTTGGACGCGACGCTCGCGCGGCTGAATGCGCTCAAGCTGCACGACCCGCGCGCTTCAGCTGCTGCAACTTCTTCTTCTACTACTACTGCAACGGCCTCTACTGCAACGACGTCTGTTATCCACGCACGTGCTCGGCAACATACCGAGCAGACGGTGCAGCTCCACCAGGAGGTACAGCGGCTCTCCAACGAGCACGAGCGGCAGCTGCAGCACTGGGAGCACGAGATGCAACAGCTCCAGCGGCGACTGGAGGCGTCGGAGCACCAGAACCGGCTCCTGAAGGCGTCGCTGGGCGACGTGGTCACGTACCGCCGCGCGGCCGAGACGCAGCAGCTCGTGATCGAAGAGCTCCAGACGCAAGTGAAGCAGCTCCGGAGCACGAATTACCGACTTCAGTACGTCGTGCAGCAGCAGGAGCCACGAGGCGCTGGCTCGTTTTTGCCCCCGCGGCCGCCAGATATCTGTTGAAGGAAAAGGAAACGAGTGCGGCAATCTTCAACATGGTGTGGGAGAGAGCGCGCGAGAGCAAGGCGGCAAGACAGCGAGAAACAGAGAGAAAGCGCTTTTTGTACTATGTAATCCATTGCTTTTCTAGAACCGAAGCGGGTGAGCGAGAGGCGGGCGGTGGAAGAGTTGCTGCTGCTGCTGCTCGTCGTGTCGTCGTTGAATTAGAGGCAACAAACACGAAGGAATGATGCAGAAGTGGCAGACGCCGTCATACTAAAGTGTCGATGCCCTTTTGCAGTGCTTTTCGCTGACTATTGGAACAGCAAATAAGTCAGTAGGGGCACCAGCTGCTGCACTGTGTTTGTGTCACGTCGTCGACGCGTAGAGCACGTGCGAAATCGATACCTGTCCGGCACCTGCTGGCAAGCTAAAAGTCAACGATTACATGGCGCGTTGGCGCTATTTTAAGGTGGATGTGTCAGACTGTTACGTGCATTTTTCGATAAAGCAGGTTCTCAATACTGGATAATAACACATACAAACACGCTGATGCCGTAAAAAGCACTCGCTGATGCGCCAACATAAATGTGCGATCGCACTTGCACAATAAGGCACTAAAATTCCGGAGAGCTCAAATGAGAGTGTAAATAAGCCAATCGTAGTCCTGAGAGTCAAATGTCCGAATCGAAAGTGACTACTTGTCACGATTTTCCGTCCACGTAGCAGCAGATTACATCACGTGAGTCACTTCGACTCGGACATCGACATCGGTGGCTCCTTCGTCCGTGAACAGGAGAAAAAGTCAACTGCGAGTCAATATGCTCCTCCGTGTGCTGCGTCGTCCGTTGCTGCAACGTCACGTGGCGCGTCAACGCAGTCACATCCAACAAGTCGAACCGCTCTGCTGTTTCAGCTCCACGTACAGTGACTATTCATTTGCAGATCGTCACTTGAGTGCTTCGGCTCATTGTAGTCGTAGTGAATTCCTCTAAAAAGAATTCGAATCATTAGAACATATTTTTTACTATTCGTAGTGCAAATCGAGTAAACAAACGTCCACTGACTTGACTGCTGTATCGCTGTGAATGCGTTTGTGGCTGTAGTAGTGCACTGCCACGAAAACAAGAGAGCAGTACAGAAGAAGAAGAAAAAAAACGACCAACACGCAGTTGTGGGACAAAGTACTGGCGAGTCAGCCAGAAAAGGCAGCAACGCAGAAAGGCGACTTGCTCTACGAGTACCTGCGCAAGGTACGCACAGAAAATCGTATCGGATGGTCAAATTTGAGGAAAAAATCGACAAAAGAGCTGAATGAATCACATGTGTAACGCTGTGGTTTGTGTTTTTCCTTTGTTTTGTTATCATTATTTGTTCATATTGAATCGGTGGATCTTATTTTCTTACTGACTCCTGTAGCGCTACTTCGGCCTCATGTCGGCTGGGTCGCTTGCCCATGTAAGTATCGTGGCGTAAACTGCGTGACTACCTGACTAGAAACATATGGCTGACAGTTTTGCAAATGTGTGGCTTTGGTGGTGACATTTGTGCCCGTGCTGTAGATTGCATTTTGGTCGTGGCTCAAGGGCTACGAGCAAAGTCTGGTGGAGAGTGCGTCGTCACTAAATGTTGTGTGTGTTCATGGCCAAGTACCATAGTATCGGCTAAATTTGTTGTGATGCTATCTGCTCTGTAGTGCACCCGGTCTTGGGCGAGCCGACGCTCTTTTCGTTCATTTCGGACGATCTTGGCTCGTCCGTGGGTTTCGGCACGAGTATTATACTGGCTGGACTCATTGGGTTCCAAGCAAAGGTGAGCGGAACAGTTGAGAATTTAGTAGTTAAATCGCTTTGTGCAATTGCTGACGACGGAGGCGTCTTGGAATGAAAAAAAACCTATTGTTTTGTGCGGGTATAGCGGACAGTAGCGCGCATTTCGGTTGTTGCGGGCGGGGACAAGCTACGCTTCACGACCCACAAATTCTTTGGGGTAAGTTGTTGTTGATTGTCTGGTGCAAAAGGTGGCTTTGCTAGTGCTGATGATTGTTTTTCGATCTTGTGTGTGTGTATGAAGAATCTAGGAACGCCCATTGACGTACCGGTCTCGTATGTATCGGCACACCCCAACACCAAGAACAATATCATCCTCAAGCTAGCGAACATACGCGGTTTTTATCTAGTGGACACGAACGGCAGCTTCTTCAACCGCGAAAAGCTCGAGCGGATGATTACGTTCCGCACCAGCTTTGTACGAGCCGCGTTTTGTCTTGTTTGTTGTCGTGGAGACCCAGTCTAACGCTTTGACGTTTGCAGAAAGAGCACGAGAAAATGATGGAAACGAAGACGACCGTAGAAGTACGAACGGACTTGCCGCGTGTGGATCTCAAGGCCGATGCAGTGCAGACTGCGGCCAAGCGAAAGGTCTCGGCACGGCCGCAGTCACCGGCTCGTCACGGCAATCTGCTGGGCAAGAAACATGCAAAGGCGAGGAAGGGCGGCAAAAAGAAATAGAGCATAAATGCTCTGAGCAGGTACCGCGCGGTCAACATACTTGTTGCGGCCCTGATCAGTGGCTACTGCAGCATCTATCAGCCCAAGTTTGCTCGCTTCGTATAGCTCTAGCGAAAGTAGGAGAAGGACTAAGCTGAATCTACTGCGAACTCGATCGCTGCGGCACATTCGTGACCACTGATATGAATTTCTTCCGTTTTTCGTATATTGCTTCGACGTGACTTAGTGACGTAAATGATGTTCAACTATTATGGCATTTCTGTCGGTGGTCAGCAAACTGTCCTTGCAAACCTCTTGTCTGTAATCGACAGAAACTTTTGCAGACGTCAAGATGTCACATTTGCCATTGCGAGAAACAGCGATTGTGCACAACATGCGCTAAATGTGTGATGCATATATCCTCATGATTTCCACCAGCGTCCGCACAACAGCTTTTGTGATGATCAGTTGGGTAAGTAGGATGACTGAGGGATAGCGTTGTTCGGTCTTGACGTACAAACTAATCAAGTTCTTTTGCATGGGGTCTCAGTATCGACCAAAAAGAAGCAAAACACGGACCATCAAATGTGGCACCACGTTCACAGTTTCCACACAGCACATTTGCAATTGTGGACGTGCCACAGTTGATGGACAATCGCTGTCCGTCCAGCTTGTTCCCTTGCACGTAGTCGATTTTTTTGCTGTTCTTGGTGCTGCTTTCGAACGAACAAGATCGCAAATCGGAATATGACGTTCTGCCTCGTGACATTATGACTTGAGAGTATGTATACCATCGCTTCATTTACTTTCGAGGGACGTCTCCTGCAACATCGTTTTCTGCGCGAGAATTGCGTCCCCGCGGTCCAGTAGCCTCAGTCTTTCCAGAGTGATGCAGCAAACTGACACGACTCAGCATTTCACTCATCTCATTCAGAGTGTATTTTTTGGCAAGGTATCTTGACTGGCCATGCCGCATCGATTGTGCCAGGCTGTAGCTCATCGATTTGAGGCCATAATTCTGCAGAAAACAATCATTGACTGAAGCTTTGGCTTGTCGGCGGCCATTGGCCTTAACATCAGTAGAGGTTTATTGCACTTGGATGTCGGTCAGTACCTTTTGTACGTTCGGTGCTCATGCTTCTGACAGCAGTACCTCGAGCGAAGACAGACCGATCCAAAGCAGTGCGGGGTCTTCGCGCACTAGCACAAACTTGTCTGCCTGGTCTTCGAATCCCAGAGCTAGTAGAAACTCGAGACACTCGGGGAACTTTGCGACTTGCGTGTCGAACAGCCGATTTGCTTTTCGGATGGACCGAAACTTGCCATCCGCTGGACGTGTCACGATGTTGGACACGATTTTATGGAGCAATGCGACTGCATTGGAGACCGCGTCAGTGCTGTAATGGACTCTGAGACGTCGCACTGCATCGTGAATGCGTCTTTCCCGATCGCCTGCGACGAGACAACACGAATGTCAGCAGATGAACAAAAGCTTCGCGATAGATCGGACGTACTCATGGCCAGTGTTGCAACTTCTTCATCGATAGTCTTCTCGTGTTCTGCAAGCTTCGATCAGCAATTTGTGTTATTGTCACTTCAACCTGGAAGACTGTTGATATGGCTCATCGTACCTGTGATCGTATGTCAGTGTGTTGGGACGTGTTGACACCCACCGTTGCTACCGTGTCGTCCTTCGTCGCGTCACCGCCCACCGCCATGGTAGGCGTCCCTGGCTCCTTGTTGGCTGGCACCTTTGCTTGCTTTGGCAGTTGGCGTTTTGACTCGGAGGTCGACACCGCTGGTTTTGGTTCAATAAGCGCGCTATCCGGTAGCCGACTAGCTCCCGCAGCGTAGCCACCTAAGCGATGTCCACTATGAGATCCTTCGCTAGAATCCTCTTCATCGTAAGACATGATCCGAGACCCGCCAGTGGCCGCACCACCTGAACTTGTCCAGTCGAGCTCGTTGCACTCCTTTTCAATTTGCCGCATGAGCTGGTAAAAGTTGCTGTCGTGCTCCGAATATACCTACATGACATCCAGAGCAAGCGCTCGTCGTCAACTACTCAAACGAAAAAGAATACCGTCACGACAGAACTTACCATATGCGAGAGCTCATGAAACAACACTTTCTTGATGCTGTGCGCAATCACGTCAGTCTCCGAGCCAGCGCCATGATTACACACGACACTTTGTTCCACGACACGCACCTCAGGTACTTGCGAAAGCCCAGCAAATCATCCGTGCGCAGCCGCAGCAAGATCTTCTGTCCTTTGTTCTGGTTCAATCCCAGCACGCACACAGGGTCCACTCCGACCTTTCCAGTTGCCGGCATCTCTGCCAACACACCGACATTCCATCTACCACATCAAGCACATGGACACGCGACAGCAAAAGTAAAAACAATACATCATAAGAAAGAGCACAGTACACGATCAATGGACCATAGCTCGTGACATTGACATCGAACGTCTCGAGCCACGCACTAATGCCGTACTTATGTTCAGCCATGACGGCCAAAAGGCCGCGATCATTGGCCAACGTCTGCAAAAGCGCTCGTGCTTTTTCCTTGTCCGCAAATTGTGGCAGCGGCTCGAGTGCTTGGAACCCGTATTCCGATCTTGCTGCAGTATCTCGTGCATGTAGCCATTTGTTTCGCTTCGCAATGTTTACTATTGTTCGATTGTCTCTGTAGCCACAAACCAAAAACGATACAGTCACGTCTATGCCCCATCGTGAGCAGCGCATGTACCACTTCGACTGCAATGTACCGAGTCGCCGCCTTTTTCTGTTCCGCCTCTTGTGCCGCCTTCATGTCATGAATCTGAGACATCGAAGCGCCTTCGACCAATAGCAGCGGCGGCGCTGCGTCTGTTTGGCACTGGCACATTTCAGCCAATAGGCTCGAGCCATTACTACAATCGATGCGTCGTCGCTCCTGGAACAATCGCTGTGCGTCACACCGCACACCCGTAATGCGCTCAATCTGTAGTTGCAGATCAGCGATTGTCGGTTGCGGTGTATCGGAGAAGGACAGACAGTGCGTCTGGCCTTTGTAGGTCAACGTGAGCGTCGTCATGCTCTGAGAACAATAGTCCGTACTACTTGACTGTTGTATGTGACGATCGGTAGCTATTTTGTCCAATGGCGTCGATCTTTCTGCCGTGACATGGGGCTCCCGTGCAAAACAAATGGCTACATGACGGCAAGTGTTGGGGTTGAGAGAGTGGTACCGATTTAATCAGTCGCTTCCGGCGGACGAGCGGACGACAACAGAAGAAACGTGCTACTACATTTGCAAACCGAGGTTATCTCAGTACATTAAGACCGCACATTGAAGTAACGCCAACACCCAAAGAGAGCGGCGCAAAGCGTCGAGGCGTACTCACACTCAGAGTTGTACATTGATTTCACTAGTGATGCAAATAGCGATCGAGAGTGTGCAAAAAAGCAGAAGGAAAACCCGTGAAATTGTGTATAGCTGACACGATCCACATGCAAAGTGTTGGAATACACATAAACATACGCTATGAGCACCTGCTCATCTATTGCCGCCATGGAACTGCTGCTCGAAGCAATACACCATCGGTCGGCAAATGCACCAACGCATCGAGTTTGTCGTCGTACCAGACGCCATCGTCCACTTTGCAAACGCTGACATTGCAATTCCTCGACCAAACTCGTAGCGTCTGCATTGGCCACAACGAGCTTCGACTGATACCGAATTTCACGACGATACATCAGCGACAGGTCCTTCCAACAACTCGTCGCTGTCGAGCCAGTCTAGAGAGCTCGCCGTGCTCTCGTCGACTTGACCGTCGAGACGGATGAGCTTGTTGCACTCTTTTGACAGCTCGGCAAACCCCAAACGCCCGCGTCGCTGAACAAACTTGGCCACTTTGTCCATCTCTTGTTCCGTAATGTAGATAAACTTCCCGCGGTCGTCAACAATGCCCGTCAGTCGGTTCGCCGCCTGCAATGCCTCGATGCGGTCCATTGCATCCTGTGTGGCTAAACTAAACTCGGACGCGAGGTCTTCCAGTAGCACCACCTTGTGCGACTTGACATAGTCCACAAACTGCTGCAACAGTGCTTGGCTCTCCTCGCTGTCCGTCGCCACCTTCGTGCCTTGTTCTTCGATCGTAAACATGTCCTTCCACTGATCAAACTCCTCCTTCTCCTTGCGTGCTTTCTCCTCCATCAACTTACGTTCCTGCTCTTCCAACGTCTGCTCCACTTTGGCCTCTTGTTCCCGTTTTTTCTGCCACGCTGCATCTCTCTCATCGGCCTGTCGCTGCCGCTCTTCCCGTTGGTGCTGGTCAAACTACCCACGTCCAAAACAGCACAAAACAGCACAAAGCACACTCAATATCAATGTCGACGCAATGGGCAACAAGTAAGCACAATGGCCGCCACGTACCTGACGGAGCTCTTCGCGCTCCCGACGCTTCAGTTCCTTCTGCAGCTCCTTCTTCGTCATTGCTCTCCTACAGCAAACAACAACAACAACAACAGCAGCCCACGAGGCACCGATCCAGTCAGCAAAAGATGCCCCATTGGTATACAAACCGACTCTTTTTTACAGGCACAATAACAGTTCCTTACGGCTCCACAGCTGCTCCGCCATCCTCTTCTGCAGCCTCGAGCGCTTCGTTCCGAGCCGGCGCCACAGCCTCTTCGCCACCAGCAGCTTCGTCGTGTTCCGCCTGTCGTTGCTTACGCTCTTTGCGCTTACGCAGCGCTGCTAATCCACGTCTTTCGCCGCCTCGAAGCACTTCGACGTGGTCGTTTGGCACAGCGTTTGTCTATAAATCGAGAAACAAATCAAAAAGCACCGCAAAAGTCAACAGAAGCACGTGGAGGCTTCGGGGTTTGCACGCGACAGAGACGGCACCTTTGCGGACGTGGAGAAGCCGGTGATGTAGAGGACGACGAGGAAGATCGTCGCGAGGCCTCCGAGCGAGACGACGAGCAGCACTGCGTCGGACGGCATTGTCGTCGACGCGACTGTAAGTGGAGGGACCGTTACGCACGCCGTAATTAGAGGAAATGGTTTATTTACAAACGATAAGGTGCAATAGAGCTAGACAAACGCTTTATCGAAAAACGATGAAGTGCAATAGAGCTCGATAAACGTTCTGGTATACAAATACAGATAGACTATTGTTAGCGTCGTGCGGACACGTTTCGATCGGATAGGTGTTTTGCATTGCGACCCGACGGTGTCGTGCTGCATGGAGATAGCGCTGGGGACTACTATTCGGAATGAGTCGTCATGTGGATACCGACGTTGTGTTTCTTCTATCAATATGAATCATAATCAGCGGTAACGAGCTCTTTTGACTACTATCAATTAGTCACTGTCTTTGCACGCTCATCCTAATCATCGACAGGACCGAGCTCCCGACTCGCCAACAAGTTTGTGCACGCATCGACCGCGTTTGTCACCTTCCACCGGCAAACGTTGTGCTGTTTACCTTGTGCCTGTACAACATTGCGTACTTACAGGATGTTGCCGATCGGTTGTAGTACGTGTGATGACCCAACCAAAGGTTGCAGCAAGTACGCTTTAACCAACCGCTCATAACCGAAGAAGCCTCACCATTCGTGAACAAGCCTTCTTCCTTCGTTTCTATCAGTGTCACGAGTCGTTGCATCTACAGGCTGAGGTTCGCCATCAGTATGTCATACACAAATGCTCGACGACCCCAACGCAGCTCAGGTGTTCCTTTTTTCTGTTCATGGACCGCTGTGCTGTACGTCTCACATCTGGCTCGACGCTTACTCCAATCCAGCAATAAACAGTGCTTTTCACCGTTAACGCTCCTATTAAAGCGTTTGCCCATAAACAATCATCTCTCTCACACGTGTAAGTTCATCATACGATCGTTACAAACTGTTTCTGCCACTCTATTATACAGTCATAGACGCACGGACGCGGTAAACTACGCGTGAGAAGACATCTCACCACAATTTCCTCGCAAGACGCCCGTGAAGTAACCGTTTTTTATCCACGATCCTCTGCAAGATACGAGCGCTCGGATCCGAACACCCCCCCCGTCGTTGATCTCGAATTTCCACCACTCGTTGCTCGCGCCTTTCCCAATTTCAACCAATCCGCCGTCGCCCTCCACCCAACGCCGCTGCTCCACTCATTCTCGTCGCCGCTTGTCGTCGTCATGGCGTCGGACCTTATCACGTACGTGTCGACGCTGCTGCCGAGCGCCAATTTCGCCGACGTGCTCGATGACTCTGCTACGAAGAAAGACGTGTCGCTTGTCCTCGCAACTGTAGGCGCCAAGTTACCGCAGCTATTGGCGCTAGAGGCCGAGACCGACGTCGAAGGAGCTTTTTCGCTGCTATTTGACGTGGCAATGCTCGCTTCGAAGCCTGAAGTCGAGTTCCTGTCCATTCTACAGACGCTGCAAGACGAGACCAACGCCAGTAGTGTCCTACGTCTTCGTCTTCTGGCCGACTTGTTCAACAAAGCCAAGCGGCTGCCCAAAGTGCAGCTCCAGACGCTCTTGGCAATCCTGTCGCTCGCCAAGAGCTCTGAGAATGTGCATCTCGTTGATCCATACTTAACCCAAGTGGAGACGTTGGTGAACACGGGTAGTCTCAACCCAGCGGACCGCCGAGCGTTGCTCCTGGCGGTGGCGAATGTCCTCGACGAGAGTCCGGAGAAAAAGCTCAAGGTGCTCTGCGTGCTTGAAAAGTACCTGGCGACGTACGAAGAGGGCGAGACAGACAAGGAGCAGACGCTGCGGGCGTGTAAGATGGTGCTGCAGAACCCAGTTGCGTGCTTTCTCGCGCGCGTGGACTTGGCTGCTCTGCCTGTTGTCAAGGCCTCGTTACATAGCGATCCGCTGTATGATCTGCTGGACATTGTGTCGACCAAGACGTTGAAAGAGTTCACCGCGTTCCAGAGCAGTGTAACGAGTGTGTTTACGGACAATGGACTTGACGAAGTCAAAGTGGCTGATGCCATGCGTCTATTCACGCTGTGCACGTTACCTACAGGATTCCAGGAGATCTCGTACGCTGACGTGGCGATGGCATTAGACGTGGACGAACGTGATGTGGAGCAATGGGTCGTGCGTGCCATTACGACTGGACTCGTCAGTGCCAAGATCGACCAACTTGCTCGTACGGTGACGATCTCGCGCTCGCTACATCGTCGTTTCGGAGACGACCAGTGGAAGGAGGTGCATACAAAGCTGCAACTGTACAAGAAAAACGTTGGCGGTTTGCTGGATATTATCAGGAACGCCCGTCGTGCTCAGGTGCTGTAGAGAATTGCGGCAGTGGATCACAAGGTGGATACAGGACGACTACCATGTCTGTCACGCCTGTCACGAACTCGGGCTGGAAGTTTTCTGCCGGTCGCTGTGGTCTTGGACTTATGCAATATAACTCGTTGACAGACCTGTCTCTGGTGTTTGTGTTATCGAACCATGTCTGCAGAGCCGTTGGAGCTAGGTAGACCTTGCACAGCACACAATAGGCCGTCACTAGTAGGGGTGGAATCAAGCGGGTCTACAAGAGCATCATATTCCGAATACGCTGGTGGCATCGCCGCATAGAAAAGTAGAGTTGGCTACCAGTCTGTTTTCTCGAGCTTAATGGAAGCAATCGAAGGCGTTGACAGCATGAGAGCATGAGAGCAGGTTGAGTGGTGTACGTTGTAGCCTCACTAGAAGCTCAGAAAAGTGCTACAGAATGGCGTCGATATGCTATACTGCTGAAGCACTAGTAAGGTCGACATGTGCTCAAGGGACATGTGCTATGTACCTTGAGCACATGTCGACCTTACTAGTGCTATCTTCGAGAACTCATCGGGTGCGCAGCGAGCATTGTCCGTGGATGTCACTGCTGAAATTTCGTCTTTAGACATGAGGACGAAGAAGACATAAACGAATACCGCACATGCAGGTGCAAAAGTTGAAATGGTAGAGCAAGTCAGTACGCAGCCGATAACGCACGGTGCTCAAGGTACGTCACACCTACTGTGGTGACTCAGAAACTACGTGTTGCGGAGCTCATGCTCAGAGCAAGCGCATGTTTGGGACAGAACTTGCGTCGCCACACGAAATTGTCCGCCGCAACGATATCAATTCGGAAGCAGTGCATCCACCTGAACGCTAGTCCTCCGTCAGCGGAGCTTTGCTCCAAAAAACTACTTGTGGGTCACCATCGGTATGGCATTGGGTGTGCTTCATTAACACATGTGCAGCCCCATTGCTCACGAAAACAGCTACTGGGAAGATCGCTCGACTATCTCTGACTTTGACACGCGACACGATCTCACACACTAACGGCTCAAACCGCTTCGCTGGAAGCAACTTGAACGACAACGATGCATTGCAGTGCACAAGCTGCCACCGACAGCAACATAGCTCAGCTGATCCTTGTACACGCGTCAATCGGCCACCCGTTTCCCCTTGCGGAAGATATTGAAAGCAGACTTGATAGCTTTTGAATCTTCTTCATTGATGTTGGCCATTTCAGAAAACAACTTGCTTCGGAAGTCCCGCTGTTTGGCTTCCTTTTCGACCCACTCAGTAAACAGGTCGAACAGGACCCCTTGTCGTACATTGGCGGCTTCAGTCGTATGTCTCGCCTCGTACACCAGGACGGCGAGTTTAGCGTCGCCACCAAACTCGGGTTTGAGGAGGCTGCACAAAGTCCTCACCTCTTGTCCTCCAGTGTGCCGGGCGCTGTCGTCCCTGTACTGTCCCAACAGCGTCAAGTATCGAGATGAGAAGATAGCGGGTCCCACCTCTTTGACCTTCAGCAGTTCAAACGCCTCTTCGAACGTTCTTCCGTCATAGTGCCATTTGATGAACAACGTGTTCAGCCACTCCTCTGCTTGTACATGCCCTGAGTTCAGGACGGCAAACTTGAACAAGAACGGTGCAAATTCAGCCTCGCCGCCAAAGCCCATCGCCACCGCATGCAGGAAAGGTGCTTTGGAGAGTGGGGGTGGATAAAAGAGCTCCGTGTACAGTTTCAGCAGCTTCACTTTCTGACTTACAAAGATGCTTTCATCTTTGCGAAGCCTTAAGAGGATAGCGACATCTGTAGGACTGCGTTTCAATTGTACCAAGTGATTGAGGTGCCATTCCAATACGCGTGATGCAAGAGACTCCATGAACGGACTGTTGGAGCCCATCATCCTGGGGAGCACTCGACGTGTTATTGTGTTGACCAGCGCCGTGGGAATGAAGAAGTTCCTTCTGTCATCATCTGGTGCTTCGTCAACGCTCGATCGTCGCTTGACACGGACGCTACTGTTGCCACTGTCAACAGCAGAGTGAAGTTGAATGGGGTACTTGATCTCCGCTCTCGTACCTTCTTTGTCAGATACATTTGAGGAGCTCTTGACACATGCCCAGAGTGCAGCACACGCGAAGAGGAGGAGGCAGTTGGCACCCATTGCTGGACAGCGTCGAGCTCTGGTTTCCCAACGACTGGGCGAATCGGTAAATGACAGAGTACCTAACAACATAAATTCTTTTGCCCTCCTCGCCTCTTGCTGTCCATTCACATGATACGGTTTGATGGACTGCAAATCTTCGTATCCATTACGGATCGAGTCGGTGGCCCTGTCCTCAGTTGATTGCATACCTGGGCGGGAAGGACGTAATCACTGTGGTAAAAAGAAGCTTAAGGGATACAAGAAGCGGACTAATACATACAGGACAGCTTCCCAATTTGAGCTCTTCGAGCAACAACGGACCGAGACGAAGGCCTCCTAAGAGCCAGTCATCTGGCCCCCTTACCTTGGATGTAACGGGAAATCCCCCTTAGTGATGCCAGAGTTAAAAGGGAGGAGGCCTTTTCTCCGCTGCGCGTGCTACGGGAGGCACCAAAGCGTGCGACCCGAGAGGGAAGCAATCCCCCGTGTCCCGCGGCGTGGGGCATATCGACGGAGTGTTGAACCCCTGCACCCAAGGCGCAAGCGAGTTCCTGCTATACTCCGTCCGCCTTCTTCAGTCGCCGACCCGTTCGCCTAGCGCGGATCCCGGTCCCGCGAAGCGAACTCGCCTAGAACCTGATTCTGACCGGAACCGTCCAGGTGCACCAGCGGCCTATCGAGGGTGATCGGTTTGGTACCCGGCGTTTTCTGCAATTTTCGCGCCCTGTCTGCCCCAGGACTGGACACCCGTTTCCACGTGCCCTTTGCAGAGTGCCCCCCGTGAAGCCCGACGTCTCGAGCAAGCAGAATGAGAAAGCGAGGAGAAGAACGACAGATTATGGTGGACGATTAGGGAGAGATCCATCCAGACATCTTAGCGCAGTCATAACGACCTCATAGACAGTCTGATCCCCACATAATAGATGCAGGACATGCATTTCTATGTAATGCAGCTGTTGAGTGGGCGCTAATGGTCGTTGATCACTCCCAAAGAGGTATAGTGGCTACGACTTGCAGTTTGCATGTCTAGCTTGTTATCTCTTGGTCTTCCTCACGTGCTTCCAAACTAGTTCTTGTCGTGCACGAAGCGTGAAAGGTCTTTGAGTGATATCTACCACCTCGACTGACCTCCGAGTGAAAAGCGCTTGCACTGAGATAGGAGAGAGAAGAAAGGGCACCTGAACGGCGGTCAAGTGCTCCTGGCTATACGAAACCGGCGTGCTTCTACCTCGACTACTTCACTCTCCTCCTCACTGGCTCAGTCTGCTGGTCTGGGATGGCGGGCGTCGTGGAAGGCATTCCGCGTAAGGTACGTGGAATTGGGTATCCAGTCTGGAAATATACAGACAGGGCGCCGAAGTCGCGTAATTCGCAATCGTGCCACCCGATTACCCCCAATGGACCGCTGACGCACCTAATCAGGTCCAAATAAGATGCGGTCTACGCTCGCTCGCTAAATGGGTTCGTGAATCATACTCGACGACCGGGATATACTGACCTCTTTCAATTGATGAGGATAGCGGTGCCGAATATTACTTTCGACGGAAACGGGTTTTGAATGTGAGCTCAGTGAAGAATACATTGGAGAATACACTCACCCCTCTCTATAAGAGACAACTTTGTGGCCAATTTTTACAGCGTGTCGTATGAAAATGTCTCTTGTAGAGAATCTGAAAGGAAAAAGTTGCATGATACTTTTTTAAGCGTGACCCGCCGATTATAATGAAATGTAACGTTTTTCTACTATATGATGTCTCCCATGTCGAGCTGTTTCGCTCTAGCGTGCCGGTTTTTGCGAATAACTGACGACACCTCATCCAGATCTGACTGTATGATTCGCGTGTCCTCATCTGAGCGTATGAAGTACGAACGCAAAAGCAGGCAGTGTAACGGGGCACACCCTTGCGTAACTTAACGCAAGGGATTTGGGTGCCCCGACGGACGTACACGTGGCAAGAGAGGAAGCGTAGGTAGGGTAAAAGTAGAACTGTTATATTAATAAATTAAGT